GGGGGGGGGGGGGGGCAAGTGAGGAAAGTAGGCGCAGGCGAACTATCAGCAACGCAGCTCAGCTCTGGACGCTTGATGGTGCCAGCACGGGCCACCCGCCACCTAGCAGAGCCGAAGGCTCCAGGGTTGAGCCGCATGGTCCAGCTTGCCTTTTTGAAGGTTGTCACACAGACTCCCACCTCTGCTGCTGCCAGCTCAATGGGCAAATGCTGCAGGCAGGCGGGTGGTGGGGCACCAGTCGGGTTTAGAGGCAAGAGCACAGGTTGGCGGTGGCGGGGGCGGCGGCCGCGACGTCGGTGGCGGGAGCCACCTCCCCTTGCCCCGTGCCTGCAGCTGCCCACCTGCAGCGCCAGCACTTCTGGCAGCGTCACGGTGGACGCCAGCCTGCCCGACTTACAGACCTGCGCGAGTCCCTCCCAGGGGAGGGAGGGGCGAGCGAGTTGTGGCCAGAGGTGGAGGGGCACCCCGGGAGCAAGTACCGTGGCTCACAGGCGAGGGCGGCCCCTGCAGCCGTCCCAGACTCCCTGGCAGCCCACCTTGCGCCGCGTCTGCCCGCTCATAGGCCTGTCTGTCTTACTGCGGCTCCGGGCCCCACCCGTAGCTTGCCCGTCGCCTGCCCGGCAGGCGCCTGTCACTGTCAACAGCCGACAGGCCCGGGTTGGTGCTCTCCTGCTCGGCTTATCAGCGAGGGGCGAAACGGTGTGGGCAGAGGCGTGGGCGGGCGCCTAGGCTCTCTCTTACTCTCTCTCGCTGCACGGCGAGGCGCAGGGCTTGCGCAAGCGGGCTCTTGGCTCGTGGCGGACAGCCTGGGTGGTTGAAAGCACCAAGCATGTCAGCCTTATGCCTTTCGGTACTTCATTTGCACCTGCATCAGCTTGTCACTCTGCACTGTATAAAGTTTGGTTTGCAAACGGTGAGCAGCCCAACCCAACAGAAAATAGTGCGGGGCCGTGATTGAGACGCTCCAAGAATGGCCCTTCTGAGTTTGCCCCCCGGCGGGAAGCCTCCGAAGCAAGACAGCTGTCTGCAGATAGCCCTCTGGGAGTGCAGAGGGCCATGTGGCAATGTATTTCACTGCTTTGCGCACCGAGCGCAGGGGGTAGAACTTGAAGGGGCAGCTGGCGGGGTCTGGGAAGCCGCCGCCTCTGCCGCGTCGCAAAGGGTTTCCCACTGTGGTGGTGCCCTGCGGCCCACACATGCCCCCACATGACCTCTGTGTGGTTCACGGCTGAGAGGAAGAGGATGCATTGCTGCACCCCATATGCTCCGCCTCGCCAACTCGCGCGAACAGGCGGGCGCAAGCGGACCGGCGGGAGTTGGGATGGCACCGTTGATGCAGCCAGGCGGCAGGCAGACAACAGGTTCTTTCCCTCAAGCATCACAATGGGGACAGCCCTCATCCGGGAGAGGCAGCTGCACTTGTGGCAATTGCGGTGGGTGGCTCCCTGACGCCCCGCAGCAAGAGGTGGCAGGAGGTTGTGCCACTCCTACTGCAGTGCCTGTGAGATTGCGCCACATGTCCAGAGGCTGCTCAATTGGCAACAGGAGGAGGGCTACACTGAGACATAGATCGGTGCTATCCTCCAACCCGAGCCAGCTGAGGTGTCAGTGACCTCAGTGTGCTGGTTGGATCGATCGCTGTGTGACAGGGTCCGATCTGCGATTCAATTTGCATTGGTAGAAACAGGCAGGCACGATTACCACCGCCATGTCTCTGGCAACTTTGCACAGCCACAGCGGCCTGGCGCAGTCGCCTGCGCAGAGGACTCGCGCATCGAGGTGCCAGCGGCTCCATCTGGCGTGCTCCGCCTCTAACGAGCACACGGCCGACGCCGCCGCCGACCGGCGGACGGTGCTGCTTGGTATTGCAGGTTGGTGCTCGAGAAGTTTTTCTTCCTTTCTGCTAGGCAGTCTATTTGTGCTGCTGGTCTGGGGTCGCAAGCTGGATGAGGCCTGCATTAATCCATCAACCCACTTGGCTGTCCATGACGGACGAAGAAGAAATGCACCCTATGCTGACCGTCGTTGCACCGCCACGTCCCTGCTGGTGCAGGCGCCGCGGTGGCTGCGCCTCTGGTGGCCTCCGCGCCCGCCAGCGCGGCCACCAAGATTCTGCCAGCCGCCCAGCTGTCTTCCTTCCAGAAGCGCGACATCATGACCGAGCTGCAGGTGGGGAGGAGAGGGAGAGGGGAGAGACAGGGACCATGGCAGCGGAACCACAGGCCAAGACAGCCACCACATTTGGTTGGCATTCAGTGCTGCTCACAGCAGCCCAGCGACGCCAGCCAGCCAGCATAGCACTGCATGCCCGCCTGAGCACACGGCACTGGAGCGGGAGTATTGCTGCGTCCCATACGATGTGCTGCCGCCCTTTGTGCGCCGCAGAAGCGTGCCCAGGAGGAGCTGAAGAAGGTTCTGACCAGCGCCGACGCCTCTTCTTGCGTGCGCCTGCTGCTGAACGACGCCGGCACATATGACCAGGCCACCAAGACCGGTGGCGCAGACGGCTCCGTCGTGCTGCCGTGAGCGCTGCCGCAGCAGTCCGCGCGATGCCCACTACAGTTGCCTGTTGCTTGCACAACCATCTGCCATCCAGCCATGCCCGCAGCACACCTGGCCTCCCTCGCTACGGCATGTGCGCACACAGCAACCGTCAGAGACCATCGCTGCCCACCTGCCTGCCCGCCTGCCTGCCTGCGTGCGTGCAGCGAGGAGCTGGACCGCCCTGAGAACCGCGACCTCAAGCCGCTGGTGGAGAAGCTGAGCAAGGCCAAGGCCGCAATCGACGCTCGGCGGCTGGAGGGGCAGGCCCCGCTGAGCTGGGCAGACACCATCGTGCTGGCGGCAAAGGCACGGCTGCTTGCTGCCCTGTGTGCAGCCTTGGGCAAGCATGCAGTGGGCTTGGGCATGCTGTGGCATTGCGCAGTGGGCTTGGGCATGCATTGCGCTGCTGAGCTGGTTGGCGGAGCAGGCGGGCTGGGCCGGGCTCAGCCTGCCACTCTGCTGCGCCTGCTGCAGGTGACTGTTGAGGCGGCGTGGCGGGAGGACAAGATCTCCAAGGCGGCGTCCCCGGAGAAGGGCGCCTTCCTGGCCGACGGCTTTGGCAACGCCATCTCGGTGCGCCTGGGACGCGTGGACGCCACCCAGCCCTCCCCGCCGGGCCGCCTGCCCGCCAACGATGCGTCGCTTGAGGAGATGCAGCGGTTCTTCTCCCAGCTGGGCGCCAAGCCCGACCAGGGTGGCGACGGCCCGTTTGCCAAGAAGCCGCCCTTCTGGGAGCGCCAGCAGGTGTGTGCGCGTGCGTGCGTGAGATGGTTGGTGCTGCTGGTGGGGTGCGCGTGTGAGAGCGGGGGCATCGAGCAAGCCTGCATGCCAGTTCCAGGAGCAGGACATTGCGGCGCCTTGCAACATGCTGCGCCATGGCATTACTCATGCCCTCACGTGCCGTTTGCCCAGTCTGCGCGTTGCCACCCCGCCCCATTCGCCCCGCCGCCTGCAGTTCCTGCTGTGGCCCTTCACACAGGCCGACCCGATTGCCACCGAGGAGGCCATGGCCGCTGCCAACCCCAAGTATGCGGACTGGAAGCGCACCTACGACACCTCCCGCAAGACTGTCACCCGCACCAGCTATGAGGAGGACTTTGGCGCCGCTTTGAGCACGCTGGCCAACCAAGGCGCCAAGTTCATCCCTGACGCCTACATGTGCCCTATCGAGATCACCCTGCCCGATCGCGTGAGTCACGCGCCTGCCACGCGTGGGTGCATTTCCCATCATGCCGCCACTGGTCAAGGGGTCTTGGGGAGCCACTCAGCAACTACTTTTTGCCTGTGCTGCAGTACTGAGTGGCGCTAGCCACTGCCCTCTTTCCACACAGAATTGAGTGAGGAATGCAGAGAGCACAGAGTGCCCAGTGAGTAGGAAGTGCGCCATGCACCTCCTCACCCACGGAGGCAGCCAAGTCACGACTGTCCCGTCCTTCCAACCGATCCCAGTTTTGTGCAGCTACCCAGGCACAGATTCTCAAACTTGAGCATTCCAATTCCTTCTTCCTGGCATTTTGGTATTCACACAGCTGTCGTGAGCGATTGATCAGGACTAGGGCGGCAGCAGGAAGAGAGTTGAGCAGGGGAGTGAGGGGGGCCTTTGTAGGAAAGTAAAGGGCGGCATGATGATTGCAGTGGAAGGGAAAAGGAGCGGCGCTTGAAAAGAGTAGCAGGTGAGCAGCAGAACAGCAGCATCGGGAGCATCGAACAGGAATGGGCTTGGCTGCGAGCTGCGCAGCTCATGCTGGTGTCGGCTTCACGGTGTCGGTGGCAATGAAGGGCTTCAGCTGCACGGGGCCAGGCCAGCGCAGGGCATGCCAAGTGGCTGTTGGCAGGCGGCAAGCGAAAAAGATTGCCTGGTGTAGCTCGTGGCAGCAGAGCGAGCTAAGTGCAAAAGTGTGTGTGGAGACTCTCTCCCGTGCCACCCACCTTGAAGTCGCTCAGGTCGGGCACAATGTACTGCGGGTGCTTGGCCTCCTGCTGCGTGTAGCCGCCTGTAGAGCACGGGGGTGGCAGCGGGCAGCCGTCAGCAGCGGCGGCCAAGCACCAACAGCCGTGCAGGCACGGCTGAGCCTCGCCCCCTACACAGCGGCCAAGGCTGCTGGCAATACGCACCCTTGCTGGTGTGTTTTCCCGTAGGCGCGGCGCCCTTTCCCTTGTAGTAGCCGCGGGGGCCCTGCTTGGTGGTGAGGCGTGTGAAGCCGACCCGCGGGGCGCGCCGCCCGCGGCCGAGCGCCGCTGCCAGAGCACCCAGCACCGACATGCGGCCGTTGCTGGGCACTACTGGGTGCCTGTGCAGCCCCTGCTAATGCTCCCCCTGCGCCCTGTAGAGGCTGGAGTGGCGAGGCTGGGGGTGAAGTTGTGCTGGGGCCCCACCGTGTCCTATATCAGGCAGTGCTGCAAAGGGGCGGGAAACCTTGCGAATTCGTTTGATGCGATGCAGCTCTCGCTCCGCTGCGTTGCCTGCTATGCCATGCCGCCGGCGCCTGGGGCTCGTTCTCCGCGCTTCCAGCCCCAGGCGCCAAGTGTTCCCGATATCCCCGGCCGTTGAGGCTTCCGGGGCTTCCTGCCCCCCACAGCGGCCTTGTTTCTGCTGTCAGACCACCAAGACGCACCCTGCTTTCAAAGCCAGGTCCCCCGGCGACGGCTTCCAGCTCCGCCGCCTGCCCTCAGTCCCCCGCTTCCACGGGTATAAGCGCCAGCCTTGCCAGAGAGGCTCCGACGGGCAGAGGATGCGCTCCCTCCTGCCATAGAGCCTCCCCCCCTGGGGCTCACTAGGCAGTCCAGTAGCTGCAGCGGCCATGGAGAACGCCGCGACGGCGGCCGCGGCAGAGGTGGAGGTGGTGGAGCCTCCTGACGATGACTTCCACTTTGCAGAGACGGACCCGAGCCAGCGGTTTGGCAGGGTGAGTGGCCTCTGGTGGCATCGGGGTGCGCCAGGATAGCCAGGCCGGCGCCGTGTGTGGGGACGCGTCCGCCGCCAAGCAGCCGGGCGTGCATGCAGGGCTTCCCTGCCAGAATGCACTGCGATCAGGGGCTGGCGTGGACCCCGTGGCCGCGGCGCTGCCCGCCCTGCCGCCCTCTGTGGCTCACAGCGCCCGTCCCGCCTCCCTCTGACCGCGTTTTGGGCGCGGCCGTCATCGCCACTTTGCCGTCGCCCCTCTCCCTATGGTCTGCAGTTCGACCAGGTGCTGGGACGTGGCGCCTTCAAGGTGGTGTACAAGGCGTTTGACACCCAAGAAGGTGGGCTGAGGGGCTTGGCGACATCCGCTGCCGCGCCGGGCGGCCCTCTGCCCCACCCACCCCTCCCCGCCTCTGCCTCAATCGCTGCCACCCTCCCGCCGCCCGCAGGGACGGAGGTCGCGTGGAACCAGGTGCGCGTGAGCGAGCTGATGAGCACCAAGGATGCGGAGAACAAGGAGGAGCGGGACCGCCTGTTTGCGGAGATCCGGGTGCTCAAGGCGCTCAAGCACAAGAACATCATGAGCTTCTACGACTCCTGGTACGACCCGCGCACCTACACCGTCAACTTCATCACAGAGCTCTTCACCTCGGGCACGCTGCGCCAGTGAGTTGACGCCAGCGGGCCAGCACGCTGCAGCTGTGCTGGGGGCACGGGCCGCCGTCGGCCACGCCGGTGGCGCTGCCGCGCTGCGCCTGCTCACTGGGTGCGGGAGTGCTGCCTGCACGCACCTGCAGGTACCGCAAGCGACACAAGCATATTGACGAGGAGGTGCTGAAGCGCTGGGCCTGGCAGATCCTGTGCGGGCTGGTCTACCTGCACGGCCACTCGCCGCCCATCATCCACCGCGACCTCAAGTGCGACAACATCTTCATCAACGGCTCGGGTGCGCGCAGCCTGGGAAGCCGGTCACGCAGCCGGACGGGCCAGCCAAGCAGCTGCCGTTTGTGGCGTGCCCCTCGCCCTGCCCTCCCCGCCCTGCCTTCACTCACTGACCCGCTGCCCTTCCGCTCCCCGCCGTCGCCCCCCTGCCCGCCTGCAGACGGCGTGGTGAAGATTGGGGACCTGGGCCTGGCCACGATGCTGCGGTCTCGCACCGCGCCGCAGAGCGTGCTGGGCACCCCGGAGTTCATGGCGCCTGAGCTGTATGAGGAGGAGTACGACGACAGGGTGGATGTGTACAGGTGGGGCGCCCTGGCGCAGGGGTGCGGCCGCCAGCAGGCGGGGTGTGGTAGTCATCGGTGCGCATGCCGGCCTGCCTGCTGTCGACCCCGCTCACCGGCCCTGCCCCCCTGCCTCCTGGGCCCCTCCTGCCTGCAGCTTTGGCATGTGCCTGCTGGAGCTGTCCACCATGGAGTACCCCTACTCCGAGTGCAAGAACGCGGCGCAGATCTACCGCAAGGTCTCGCTGGTGCGCAGTGCAGCAGCAGCCGCCACACCAGCTGCTGTGGGCCCAGGGGCTGCTGCCGCGCCTGCATCACATCACCTGCTTGCTTGCCTGCCTCCCCTGCCACCCATGCCCGGAGCTGAGCGCTGCCCTCGCTGCCATGCCCCGCCGCCGCGCCTGGCTGCAGGGCGTGCGCCCCGCGGGCCTGCAGAAGGTGGCCAGCCCCGAGCTGGGCGAGTTCATCAATGTGTGCATCACGCCGCGCGACGCGCGCCCCCGCGCCCGCCAGCTCCTCAAGCACCCCTACTTCGACTCCATCCGCAAGGACAAGCTGCTGACGTCGCGCAGCGACGCCGCGCTGGCGGCGCACGACGATGCCGGCAGCGAGTATCGCAGCCTGGCCAGCGGCCCCGTGTCGCGCACCGCCTCCAGCCTCAACGAGATGGTGGCGGCCGTGAGCAGCGGGGGCCCCCCGCTGCAGGGCCCTCCCTCCGCCACCAGCGTGGCCGGCGGCCCGCCTGCGCACCCGCTGTCGCGCACCACCAGCGCCGACGCGCACAGCGACAAGGCGCCCAGCGACAGCGCCTCGGTGCGCAGCCAGCGGTCCAACGCCTCGGAGCTGGCGCAGGCGGTGCTGGAGAACATTGCGGAGGAGGGGGAGGCCTCTGGTGGGTGACGCGCCCTGGGCTGGGCGCCTGCTGCATGAACACTAGTATCGGTGGATAATGAAGATGTTGTCATCGGCCCTAGGCAGTGCGCCTTCGCTGGCCCCCCGCTGGAGGAAAGCACGTGGCTCACCCAGCCTGCTGCCCTGTCTCCCTCCTGCGCAGACGGCGGCGATGAGGAGCTGGCGGGCAGCCCCGCGGTGCGCAGCCGGCAGGCCTCCAAGCAGGCCTCGCCAGGAGGCTCGCCAGGCGCCGCCTCCCCCACCAAGCCCGGCAGCCCCACCAGCAGCGACAGCGACGGCTGCCGCTGCGAGAGCACCGAGCGCCGCTTCTTTGTCAAGGGCGACTGGCTGGACGGCGACAAGCGCATCCAGCTGCGCCTGCGCATCTGCGAGCCCACCGGTGAGCGTAGAAGCAGCCTGGCCTGCCTGCGCCGCTGCATTGCCACGCCCCCTGCTCCCCAACCGCTGCCTGCCTGCCTGCCTGATCCCTGGCTGTTTCCCCCGCTGCCGCCCACCTTGCAGGCGCCTCCCGCACCGTGGAGTTTGAGTTTGATGTGGCGGTGGACACGGCTGCCGACGTGGCCAGCGAGATGGTTTCCGACCTGGAGCTGACGCCGGATGATGCCGCCGTCATCTCCTCCATCATCAAGGGAGAGCTGGACCGGCTGTCGGCGCTGCCGCAGGTGGGTGGAGGGCGGGCAGCTGGCCGCGGGGCAGGGAGGCAGCTGGCAAACGACGTGGCCACACAGCAGCTGGCTGTGGCTGCCGGGCCGGCTTCCTGGCTGGCTGGCTGGCCCCCACCGAGCGCCTGCCTGCGCCGCGCGCCCTGCAGATCAACCCCCAGGCCTCCATCTCGCTGGCCAAGGCGGCCCAGGTGCTGGAGCACTCGCTGACCACCAACGCGCTGGAGCAGGCCAACAGCGGCAACGGGCCCAGGGACCTGGGCCTGTACAGCAGGGAGATCAGCCTGGTGTCCAACAGCTCCCGCCAGCTGGGCCGCTTCAGCGAGCAGACCAGCGCGCCGCCGCCGTCCCCCGCCGCCGCGCACCTGGCCGCGGCGCTGGCGGCGGCGGTGGCGGCCGCGGCGCCGCCTGCCACGCCCCCATCGGACGGCCAGCAGTCGCGCCGCGACTCGGAGGAGGGGCAGCCGCCGGCGCAGCTGCAGCAGGCGCAGTTTGCGGCCGCGCCGCCGCTTCGCCGCTCTGGCGGCAGCAGCTCCTCCCTCGTCTCCTTCTCCTCCGCCTCCTCCATCCCCTCCCTGCCCTACGCCGCGCCACCGGCCGCCCCGCAGCCGCCCTCCGACGCTGGGCAGCAGCCGGCGCCGCCCACCCTGTCGCGCATGTCTCCGCCGCCGCGGACGCCCTCCACCCAGCCCGACGCCCGGCCCCCGCCGCGCCCCGTGTCTCCGCTGGCCGGCGCGGCGGCAGCCCCCATCGACTTCCCCTCCCCCTCCCAGCGAGTGCTGCGCAGCAACTCGGTGGACGCCATGACCCTGCTGTCGCGCTCCAGCTCGCTGCCGCCAGGTCGGCGCCGCCCCCGGCCTGCACACCACAGCGCGCAGAGCATGCACAGCTCGCCCGCACCGCCCGCCAACCCACACCTGCTCCGGGCCTGACTTTGCCTGTCCCCCTCCCCCACCCACCCACCCACGTGCTGCAGGCCGCGAGCCTGTGGCCTCTCCCCTGGGCCTGGGCAGCGGCGCGCTGTCGCCCTCCAGCGGCATCCTGTCGCCCTCCACCTCGGTGCACGAGAAGCGCGTGCCCCTGGGGAAGCTGTTTGAGAACCTGGGCTACGTGGCTCACGAGCGGGAGGGCGGCGAGGGCCAGGCGCTGGAGCTGGGCGGCAGCGGCGCCGCGGCGCACAGCGGCAGCCTGCCTCCGCTGCCGCAGGCGGGCAGCGGCCGGCCGCTGCCGGGCAGCACCAGCGGCTCGGTGCTGGAGGCGTCTGCGTCTGGCGGCGGCAGCGGCGACCTGGCCTCCCCCATGATGCGCCCGCGCTCCGAGGCGTGCCTCACATCGCTGGCGCCGCGCCTGGGGCGGCTCAGCCCCGGCCTGGTGACGGCGCCCGGGCGGCTCGGCGCCGCTGGCGGGCGGCGGCCTGGCGGCGGCGGTGTCCCTGGCGGACCGCACCCCCTCTGTCGCCTCCCCCGCCTCTGCCAGCAGCAACGTGTCGCCGCGCTCCTCCAGCAGCTGCCAGGCAGCAGCCACTGTGGCCGCAGCGGCGGCGGAAGCCATCCAGCGCCTGGACCTGCAGTCGTCCGTGTCGGTGCCGGTGGTGGCGCTGGCGCCTGCTGCGCCGCCCGCGCTGGCGCGCATCGGCGCCCACGCCCTGTCGGCGCCACCCAGCAAGGTCCCCTCGCGGGATGGATCCCCCATCCGCGAGCGCGAGGGCTCCCTGTCGCCCACCCGCCCCTGCGGCGACCACGCGCATCTCAACGGCAAGCGGCCCCCCATCAAGGGTGAGTGGAGCACCGCCAGCTGCCTTGGAGCGCCTGTGCCGGGATTGGCTGCTTGGCCTGCCATTCTCCTTGCTGGTGCCAAGCTCACCCGCCCGCCCCGTGTGTGCTTCCTGCAGACAAGGAGGCGCTGCGGCGGCAGGCCGCGGATGCCATGAAGGCGGTGGAGCTGCGGTCGCTCAACCTGCTGGAGGGCGGGCTGCTGGGGGGCGGCAAGGGCGCCACGCGCGGCGTGCCCATGGCCGCCACCAGGAGCATGGGCAACCTGTGCAATGGGGCGCAGGCGCCGCCCTCTGGCGCTGGCATCGCCGCCACGCAAGCTCCCTCGCAGCAGCAGCAGCCGGCAGGCAATGGCGTCGCCGCCGCGCCTGCAGCGGCGGCACAGCAGCATCAGCAGCCTGCAGCCGGCGCGCCAGCGCCCCGGGTGCCGCATGTAGCCATGCAGGCAGCACCGCTGGTGCCGCCGCACTCCTCCGCCAGCTAGCTAGCCAGCCAGGTGCCTAGACAGCGCTGGGCGACCTTACCCAACTCCTGCCACCCGTTTAGGACTCACCCGCCCTTGGTGTATGACAAGACATAACTTGGCCTCCGCCGCCTGTGCGTCGCTAGGCGGCGCAGCATACGCAGGCACCATTCTTTCTCGTTCTTACTGATTTTTCGTGCCAGGTAGCTGCCTCTCCTCACTTGTAGGTTACCATTTGGTTTCGCCCATCGGTGGTTGTGGTCTCTTTCCGGTCACTGCCTTATAGGATCACCTTAGGAGTACCCCTACCCTCGCTCTCGGCACTTCCCTTCCGTTTCAGCGCCAGGCGTGGCCAGGCAGGCAGCAATGCCCGCCACTGTGCCCTCCCCGCTGTTCCCTCCGTTCCTTCTTTTGCTCTGCATGCACCTTTGCCTTTTCAATCTTCGCTGAATGATTTCATCGCCAGCGCTGGAGCATTGGCGTCATGGGTGGGAGGGGGTAGGTACCGCCGAGCCAGGCGGACCACCCTCCCCACCGCGCCGATGCGCATCCTCGCCGCCCCGCTGCACAGTCACCGCGGCAGCGGCAGGGGGCGCACCCTCGCGCTTGCGGCCTGCCCCTGGAACGAATATGCCCACACCGGGTGCACCGCAACCAACTCCACGACTCTTGACAGTTTTGCCCATTTTCACCCACACTTGTGTTTCCTGGTCTTTCTTGGGCCCCTCCGTGGTGCCGCCGCAGTGTGGGCCGCGGGCCCCACGCGTGCACGCGCTCCAGTCCCGAGACGTCTGGTGGCTGCGCACCTCCCCGCAGTACTACAAGCAGCTAATTCCTGTCCCTTGCATGACACTCACTGCTGACTTTGCAACAAACTGCCAAAAAAACAGATGAGACGAGGCAAGGGGACGGGCACACACCAAAGCAGCACGACGACAGCCACGCACAGCCACGGCGACCTGGTTTTGAGGGATCAGCGCTTGGCGGTGGCCTGGCGCAGCAGCATTGCCTGCAGAATGCCCGTCCGCACCTCCATCTGCAGCAGCTCCGTGCGCAGCTGGCTGCACGCCTCTGCCAGGCGCGCCACGGGCCGCTTGTCGCTCATGCTGTTGCCCTGCTCCGCCATTTCGCGCTGCCGCTCCTCCAGCTCCTGCACATGCCGCAGCCAGCGGGTAGGTGGTGAGGGGCAAGCAACGGCTTGGCAGACCAGCGTCTGGGGCGGCAATGCAGAAAATCCTTGCAAGCAGCTTGAGTGCAACATGCCTGGTGACTGCAGAGCCATGGCATGAATGTTGGTACAGCCAGGCCAGTGCTGTTATTGTGCACCAACCTTGTTGAGGAACTGCAGCTCCTGCTCCAGGGTGGCCACATACTCTTGGCGCGCCGCCTGCTCCGCCTGGAGCGAGTCCACCGCGGCCACCGCGGCCTGGTGCTCTGCCTGCAGCCCCGACAGCTGGGAGCTGACGGCCTTGTCGCTGGCGGCCAGCGCTTCTGCAGTAGCCGCCAATGCCTGGCCCGCGCCCTCCAGCTCTGCCCGCGCCTCGGGCTCCGTGGCCTGCAGGCTGCCCATGCTGGCCAGCGCCCGCTCCAGCGGAATGCGCCACTCGCCGCCGCCGCCGCCAGCATCGGCGGTGATGACCAGCCTGTCCTTCACCCGTTCGCACTCTGCCTGCCAGGCCGCAACTTCCGCCGGCTGCTGCTGCTGCTGCTGCTGCTGGCCTGCAGCGGCGCTGCTGCGCCGTTCACTGCCCCGGCGCCCGCTCCCCCGCCGCTCCCCACCGGCGGCGGGCCCGCCACTGGCGGGCGAGGCGGAGCTGCTGGGCTGCCTGGTCCTGGCAGGCATGGGGCCGAAGCGGAGGGAGGCGTTCTCGCTCGTGGACATGCTGCACGGTTGGTCAACTCGTGTCGTGGAAGTGAACTGTGCCAAGCGCTGCGATCTGATGTGCAATGCGGAGTGATGCAGGGGCTGGATTGCCTCTTCCGGAGGTGCATGCGACGTTTTATTTTGCATTCCTTGTCAGCTGCCCTGCTGGCCGCCTCCTGGTGATCGTCGTGCATTGCCCGTGTGTTACACCAGTTTCTATTGCATGTCAGCCAGATCGCACCAGGGGCATCCACGGCAAGGCAGCTGCACAGCCCACGCACTGCAAAACTGCATCACATGCGTGGGCTGGCCACACTGGCGAACTCCTTGCAGCGATTGAGCCACATTCACAGACGTGTCTGGACGCCATTAGCGGTCGCCCGGGCTCAAGCCCGCTGGGCCCCCGCCCTCTTCCACGCAATGGCCACGCTACAAAAGGCGAGCAGGACCCCCCAGGGTCACCTGAAAGGCTATGTAATTGGGTGGGCAGTCTGAAGGGCGGCGGGGCCCGGTTGGCCGTCTCTCCTACACAGGCCGCCGCCACTCCCGAGCCGCCGCCGCCGCTCGCCAACATTATGGCATTTGTTTGGCTGTTGTCGTGAGTGCAGGCCGTAGTGCGCTCCCTGCCAGGGGAGCCCAACATGACCATCACTCTGATGGTGGGAGGCAAGCAGCGGAACATGGACAGGTGCGGGGGGGGGCGGGCGGGGGGGGGGGGGGTGCGGCTGGCAAACAACTTGCAGCGACAGCTGTTGTGTGCTGCATTAGTGCTAATGTGCTGCTCCTGCATGTAGTATTCCTGACATGACGCCGCCTTCATCCCCTTATTGTAGGCCCAAAGACGAGCTGCTAGAGAAGCCGCTGGGGCGGCTGCAGAAGAGTGCGGCGCCGCAGCTAGACAAGCAGCAGCGGCGGCAGAAGGGCAAGCAGGCAGCCGCCAACGCCGCCGTGGCTGCAGACCTTGCGGCTGTCGATGCGTCGCTGTTTGTGGGGCTGCATGCGGGGCCCTCGGCAGAGCACCCAGTGCTGGATGCAGCAGCAGTGACAAACGAGGAGGCGTGGCGGCACGGCCGCCTGCTGCGCGTCGGGGAGGCGCAGTATCAGGTGGACCTCAACCCACCGCTGCTGGACCGTGTGGAGCTGCACGCCCGCCCCCATGTGGGCATCCCACTGGTGCCCGCAGTGCAGGTGTGTACGTGGGCTGTTGGTGCTTCTTTGGGAGGTGCTGCTGCACAGTCGAACTGAATCTACAGCACTTGCAACGCAAACAACAGCCCTTGCCAAGCTGACCCTCGGTGTGCCCCCCTGCCGACTGCCTGCGCGTAGCTGCACTTTGCCGACGAGGCCGCCTGCCAGTGGCAGTGGTTCCGGCAGCGGCAGGGCAGCGGCGGCTGGGAGCCGGTGCATGGCGCCACCAGCCGCCGCTACGTGCCCACGCCTGACGACGCGGGGTGCCGCCTGCGCGTGCAGTGCACGCCGGGGCGGCAGGCAGCAGCCACCTCTGCAGCAGGGCCAGCAGCGGAAGGGGAGGAGGTGGTGCTCGGGGCGCCAGGCTGCGCAGAGTGCGGGCCGGTGGCGGTGCCGCCGGCGCCGGCGGCCGCTGCGGCGCGGCATGCATTCACGGCGCAGCCCACCGCGCCCCCCGAGCTGCGTGTGGTCACCTACAACATCCTGGCAGACCAGTATGCCGCCACCGACGCCGCCAAGAACGTCATCTTTGCGCACTGCCCGCCAGAGTGAGGGCCAGCCGCTTGCGGGCGCTGCCGCCCACCCTGCCTGCCAGCCCGCCTGCCACGCCTCCAAACACCCTGCCCCAGGCTGGTGCTACAGCAGGCCCCAGAGCTCCCTCGCCATCAGCAGCCCTCGCCATGGACGGCAGCCCCACCACCACCTCCCCCGCTGCCCCGCGCAGGTTTCTGGACCCCGACCACCGCCGCCCGCTGGTGCTGGCGGAGCTGCTGGGCTTCAACGCCGACATCATCTGCCTGCAGGAGGTGGACGAGAGGGCCTTCACCGCCTACCTGCAGCCGCAGCTGGCGGTGGAGGGTGGGTGGCAGGCTGGGTGGGGCGAACGCGGATGGCGGGACCCACAGTGCCGGCGCACCCACCTTGTTGCTCCCTCCGGCTTGTGTGCCCACTGGACAGGCTGGAACATTGGGCCCCAGCCCTCCTTCCGGCTCGCCTGCGACTCTTGCTCCGCCGCCCTCCCTCCCCGCCCACCCACCGGCAGGCCTCCAGGGCGTGTACACCAACAAGGCGGGCAAGCCGGGGCTGAGCGTGCGCGAGGGGTCAGCCACCTTCTTCCGCACCTCGCGCTTCTCGCTGGCGGCGCGGCGCAGCCTGACCCTCAAGGACTTCTTCCCTGCGGAGGTGGGGCGCAGGGGTAGGGGGCATGGGGGGAGGGGTCGGGCCGGGCAGGCGGCTGCACATATCGAGGGGCCGGCAGCCTGCACGCTGCTGCTGTGCCCGGCACGCTGCTGCGGCGGCGCACATGGGGCTGAGGATTAGACAGACTCACTGAACCATCATGTCGTGATGGCCAAATAATTGCAATAACATAAAGCCCTCCTTAACGCACTCTCACGCTGTTTCCGCCTGCCAACGAGCTCTCCCGCTCCATTCCACCGGCAACCATTGCACCTGCCCTGCCTGCTACCACACCTCTTGGCCTGCCTCCACCCTGCCCGCCCACCTCCCCCGCTTGCCCTTGCAGCCTGGCGACCAGGCCAAGTATGGCGATGTGTTTGCTTCCATGCTGCGCAGCTCCCCGGCGCTGCAGCACGCGCTGCAGCGCATTGCCACCGTGGCGCAGCTCAGGTGTGGATGGGGCGGGCAGCAGCGCCAGCGCACCTCTGCTTGTTGCCCTGTCTGCCCATATTGCCTGCACACCTCGACATGGCCCTGCCAGGAGCGGCACTGCGGCCGCACGTGTGACGTGAAGGGTGCCCGCTCGCCTCCCCCGCCGCCGCAGCCTGCTGGCGCCGGTGCAGCCCGGCGACCGCCCGCTGTGCGTGCTCAACACCCACCTGTTCTACCACTACATGGCGCCCCACATCCGCACCATGCATGTGTGGGTGATGGCGCAAGAGGCGCAGCTGTTTATGGATGAGGCCATGGCAGACCCGCAGCTGGCGGCGCAGCTGGGGGGGCAGCGCCCCGCCCTGCTCTTCTGCGGCGACATGAACTCGGGTGCGGCTGGGAGGCTGCGCATGAAGGGGCCACCTGGCCCCGATGCAGCTGTGGGGGTCCTTTGGATGTTTCGGTGCACTGCGCCCTCAGCCCACACTGCCTCCACCACGCCCCCCTGGGCCCACCCCCCCACCCGCAGACCTGAATGACGGCATCCCGGGCGCCATCGAGCTGCTAGCCAAGGGGCGGCTTCCCGCCGACTTCTGGGACTGGTGGTACGGCGCAGACTTCAAGTGGGACAAGGGGGAGGAGCAGCAGGGAGAGGGGGCGGACGAGGCGGCGGCGGCGGAGGCTGCAGGTATGGCCCGTGTGGCGCGCCTGTGCGCTGGTGCTGAGCCCCGCCTGCGGTGCCTTCTTCCAGCAGCAGCTGGTGGTGGTGGTGGTGGTGGGGAGTCAAGCATGTCCTGCCCCCCACCCTTTCCTGCTGCCCTCCCATTGGCACCACAGGCGGCAGCGGCGGCATGGACAAGCGGGGGGAGGGGCAGGGGCAGGCAGCGGAGGGCGTGCATGCGCACGAGCAGGGCTCGCCCACAGCCACCACCATTGCCGGCGGCGGCGGGCCGCGGGGGCGGGAGTTTGTGGCGGGCGTGGACCTGGCGCTGCCCTTTGCCCTGCGCCCCGCCGACGACCTGCGCACGCCCTTCACCAACCACGTCAAGGGCTACCAGGGCCTGCTGGACTACATCTGGTGGGCCAGGCAGCCAGGGGACGGCGGGCTGGGCGGGCAGCATGGCGCCGGCAGCACGGCAGGCACTGCGCGGGGGCTGGCCTGCTGCCGCGTGCGACGGCCAAGCCGCCACCACTGCCAGCACCCTCTCGCCCACCCCACCCCTACCCCCCTTCTCTGACGGCAGGTACGAGCCGTCGGCGATGGCTGTGTCGCGTGAGGTGCCGCTGCCCTCGCTCCAGGAGCTGGGCGGCTACCTGCCCTCCCAGCGCTTCCCATCCGACCACCTTCCCGTGGTGTTTGACCTGCGCTTCAAGCAGCCCGGCGAGGCAGAGGGCGGCCAGGGCGGCAGCAGCGATTGCGGCGGCGGCGGCGGTGGCGGCGGCGGCGGCGGCGGCGCAAGAGAGGCGGGCCACGTGCTGCCTGCGGCCCTGTGCAATGTGGGCCTGGCGGCAGAGGCGCTGGGGAGGGCCGAGGTGATTGCGGTGCCCACAGACACGCTGTACGGGCTGGCCGCCTGCGCGCGCAGCAGCCAAGGGGTGGCCCACATCTATGCCACCAAGCGGCGGGGCGACCACAAGCCGCTGGCCATCGCTGTGGCAGACATCGCAGACGTGCCTCGCTTTGCAGACGTGCAGGTGTGTGCGTGGTGTGTGTGTGTTGGGGGGATTGGGCGCCGGGGCAGGACCATGCCCGTTCTTGTGCTGAGCTGTGTGCCAAGCGCATGGTTGCATGCTGCCCGCTGCCTGCTGTCCTGGTGTGCACCCTTCTCACCCTGCTCTGGTGCCCGCCATGTGTGTTTGCCGCCCCTCTGCAGCACCTGCCCGAGGGCCTGCTGGAAGATCTGCTGCCCGGGCCCGTCACGCTGCTGCTGCAGCGGCGCCCCGACGCGCCGCTGGCTGCCCAGTTCAACCCCGGGGTGGGTGCCATCGGCATCCGCATCCCCGACTCCGCCTTCATCCGGGCCGTCTGCCGCCAGCACCGCGCCGCCCTGGCCCTCACCTCTGCCAACATCAGCGGCAGCATGAGCAGCGTGGATGTGGGCGAGTTCCAGGTGCGGCCTGGGGGCTGGGCCTGGCTGGTGGCGGAGGGTGCAGTGTTTGCGATGGGGTAAAGTGGGCCGAACAGGATGGTTGGAGGGTGATCAGCCGCAGTCGCTTCAGGCCTGCTGCTGGCTGACGGCGTGGCAATGCTGCTGCCGTTGCGCCTGCAGGAGCTGTGGCCTTCCTGCAGCCTGGTGTTTGACGGCGGGCAGCTGGATGCGGGGCGGTCTGGCAGCACCGTCATTGACCTCACGCAGCCCGGCCAGTTCTCCGTTGCGCGGCGAGGGGCGGGCTTCGCGCGCATCATGCAGCTGCTGCAGGACAAGTACAAAATGCAGCACCTGATGGAGTGACCCACCACCCCCCGCTTCCTTCCATTTCATGGCTCGCCCACTCTGAGACCTGTCTGGTACTGCCCATTTCCTGCTGCCCCCCCGCCTCACATCTGCACCACTTGGTCTGGTACCGATGGACATGACCAGGTAAAGGCAAATCAATTCATCTGCTTCCAACAAAAGGCGGGAAAAAAACCAAGTTGAAAAAAAGGAAGACAAAAAGGGGGGTAAGCCAGTATCCGGTGCCACAAGCGATCCAAGTTAGGATCCCAAGTCTTCGGCTTCTATGTACACCTTGCCTACAACACGCGGCCGCCGCGCCACCTTGGCTGGCTTGCGGCTGGGCGGCGCCTCGCCTGCCGCCGCAGCGTGGATGCGCTTCTTGGGCACCGTGCCCGCCGGCCTGGAGTTGGCGGCGCCGCTTGTCAGCGGCTGGGCGTCCCCTAGGCCAGCTGCCACACCAGCCGGTGCCAGAGTGTGAGGCGGCGCTGCTTCAGCTTTGCCCGCCGTGCTGCTGCGTGCAAGGCGGTGCGCCTGAGCAGGCGCCGCATCTGGAGCGGCAGACGGAGCTGCAGCCGCAATCTCTGGCCACAACTCCAATTCGTCAGAAGACTCGATCAGTAGCGGCCTCAACCGCTTGCGCCGCATGGGCTTCGCGCCCCCCGCGCCCCTGCCAGCACCAGCAGCCGCCTGCTTGGTTGCCGCAGCCGCAGGTTGCTTGGTCGGCACAGGAGCTGCCGCTGCTGCCGCTTGCTCCTGCTGGCGCTGCTCCTCTTCTGCCTCCGAGTCCTCACAGATCAGACGCTTCAGTCGCGCCCGCCGCTTGACCACGGGCTTGGTGGTGCCGCTCCCACCGCTGCCCTCCTTGCCTTCCTCCACATCGTGCCAGCTGGCCCCAGCTCCCGCCTTCGCCATGCTCTTTTCCTGCTTGCGACCCGCAGCGCGCTCCTTGGCCTGCTGCTTGGTCACGTCCGCATGGCATGCCACGCACAGCGTGCGCAGGTTGTCCACATCGCACAGCCCCCCGCCCTGCAGCAGGGCAGCACATGCGCCACCAGGCTGAGATGGCGGCAGGAACCGGCGGCCGAAACTGGGCTCAGGCAAGGCGGGAAGGCAGGCACAGCAGCGCACCGAGCAGAAGGCAAGGGTGCTTGCAAAAGCTGGCTGCCCCGCCTCCCTCCCACCTTGTACACCGGCACGATGTGGTCTGCCTGCCAGGCATTGCCCTCCACTGCCCGCTTCACCAGCTGGTCCAGGTAGGACTTGTAGCCCCGGGCCTGTGGCGAGGCAGGCAGGCGGACAGGCAGGCAAGCGGTTGGCCAGCGGTAGCGGTTGCGTGGCTTGCTGGAAAGGGCGGTGCATGCCGGCCAGTGTGTGCGTGGACAGCAGCACAGCGCATGCCAGCAGCTGGCAGTGGGCGGGCCGCCGTGGGGACAGACCATGAGGCGGGGGGCGCGCGCGTTGATGATGCGCAGCCGCTGCTCCTCCCACCCCCGGGTACCCTTCTCCACAGCCTGCACAGGGGTTTACAGCACTCGGCCAGCCCTGTGGCAGTGTGCAGAAGCGGCAGGGCCTGTGGTGCTGGCGCCGCACAGCGCCGCATCTGCCCCGCCGACCGCGTGCCACATGCCCACCTGCAGGCGCTTGACCAGGGTGTGGCAGTCGAGGCGGCAGCTGACGCAGACGCCACGCTCCAGCTTGAACAGGGCACGGCGGTAGGCGGAACCGTTGGACTTCAGCCCAAACCAGCCCTCGCACTGACCGCTGCACGACAGGTGGGGGCAGTGGCATGCATTCGATGTCTAGTGGGCGGCTCGCCGGAGGCGGAGCAAGCACTGTGCGTCCCCAGCTGGCACAGAGTTGACCTCCACCAGTGCAGGCTGCAACAGACCATACAGCCCATCCCACCTGCAGAACAGGTTGGTCATGCCATCCAGCACCGTGTCTGGCGGGTGCGCAGCTGTCGCCCCCGGCACCGGCTTGGCGCAGTTGATGCACAGTCGGGCACCACCGGGCAGGAAGGGCTGCTGGTACTGGCGCTCTGTGCCATAGCTGCAGGGTCAGCGGGGCAGGAGAATGCCAATTAACTGCCAGGGACCCATGCGCAGGCAACCACACAAAGTAACAACTAGAGCTCTCACAAGGGAACGGCATTCTTATCTGCCACCCACCACTGGGCTGCCACTCACCGCTTGAAAGCCACCTGCACGGGGCGCCACTCAGCGCCAGCAGGCAGCGCCAGGTCGCCACGCTCTGCCAGCACAAAGCGGTTGGTGGAGGTGCCCAGGCGGCCGGCGGCGGCGGCGGCCTTCTCAATCTCCTCCACAGCCTGCACCATGAGGGCACTAGGCCAGCTCTTGGGATTCAATTGCCCATGGTGCATGCCAAGCGACGGCTCGCAAGCGCCCGCCACCGATGCTCCTCCCCCACGAGTACCTCTTGCAGCGGCAGGCGCAGTATCTTGCCGTGCAGCCGGGACTGGTGCAGCCCGCGCAGCTCCCGCCACTCTGCCGAAAACTCCCGCGCCTCAGCCAGCATGGCCGCCAGCTGGGCAGCGCTGATGTGGCTGTCCAGGGCGAGCACGCCAATGCCGCTGACCACCACTGGCCGCCGCTGCTCCTCCTGCGTCTGTTGGAGCACCACAGGTGTGACCGCCGCCGCTCCCTGTACAACTGCATTGGGGGCTACAAGCGCCTGCTCCAGCTGGCCGGCGGCTGCCGTGGCTGGTGCGTCGTGCTGCCGTGTCTCGTCATCTGTGGCGCACGCGGCTGGCTGCCCTGCTGACAGCGGCGCTGAGCACTGCGGTTGATTCTGCTGCAGCAGCTGCTTCTTGCACTGGCCCACCGCCTGCAGCAGCTCCTCCAGGGGCGGCGAGTCGCCGACCAGCAGCGCCTCCATCGGCAGGCTGAGGCGCAGCGGCGCGGTGCCGTCGGGGGCGGCATGCAGGTGCACGCGGCTCGTGTTGCCGCTGACCTCAAACCAGACCTGCGGAGAAAGGCGGATTGCAGCAATGATGAACGCGAGCTGTTCAAGTGCTGATAGGATGCAAGCCTGAAGCTCACTGTGTGTGCGGCGTGGTTCCAGCCAGCCTACCTCAATGTTCTGCGACGGCTTGTCTGCCTTTGCATGGGCTGCCGGCTCAGGATGGCCCGCTGCCAGGAGCGCTGTCCCCAGGCCACCCAACGCCGCCCCAGCAGCTCCAGTGCCCAAAGTGGCCACCCGGCAGCCTCGCGAGGGCAACCGCCGCCCCGGCGCTGCAAGGCTGTCAGCAGCTGGTGCAGCGGTTGCGGCGGGCTGGGCAATGCCCGCCACCTCTGCACCGCCTGCACCGGCAACAGCCAAACTGGTGGCAGGCTGGCATTGACTGGTCCCTGGAACACCAGCTCCTGCTGCCACTGCTGCTCCCGGGGCGGCGATTGCCTGGTTCAAGGCAGCTGGCGCAGATGGCGTGACTTGGGCTGCCGCTCCCATGGCAGCCCGTGCTCCCGCAGCTGGGGCAGCAGCAGAGCCTGGCAGCGGCGACTCGCCAATTCGCGTGCCGCCCACAATCTCTCGCCTGCCGCCGGTGCTGCCCATTGCTGCCAAGCCGGCCTTTGCCGCCGCAGGCGTAATGCCTGCCTCTTCCGCATCGTGCACACATTCCACTACCAGCCCAGCCTGGGCTGCCTGGGCTGCCACAGCTACTGCCGCTGCACCGCCTTGCGCCCTGCTACTGCCCTCGCCATCCGGTTGCCCAGGCGGTGCCGCTGACACGCCGACGCCTGTAGCAGCTGGCAGGCACGCCCCGTCGTGCACGGCAGACACCCGCGCCAGGCTGCGGTTCAGGGCCTGCCAGCGGCGGTCGTCTGCGGTGCCCTTGGCGCACAGGAAGTAGACGTTGACGGGGTGGCGCTGGCCCTGGCGGTGGGCACGGTCCTCTGCCTGCCGCACATGCGCCACCTCATCCGGCAGCTCTGCGGCAGCGCACAGTCAGCGAGAGGCAGCAGTGGGGTTGGTATGCAGGGCACATGCCTCGCGGCATGCAGGGAGACCACCCCTGCTGGCCAGGCCGAGCCAGTGGGCCGGGTGGAGTGCCTAGGAGGTGGAGGCCAGCGCAGGCGCACCAGCAAACACCACTACGCTGGCGGCGCTAAAGTCCAGCCCCACGCCAGCGGCGGTGACCGACAGCAGCGCCACGCGGACGGCGGAGTCGGAGTGGAAGCGCCGCACCGCCTGCCGCCTGCACCAGGAGCGACCCGGGGTGGGGAGCACGGCCAGCCCACTGCGTGACACGAACGGTGGCGCTGCCTCACACTCATCTGACATGCGGAAGCCCAACCATGCTGCAATCCCCCTCCCTCCCACTGCACACACAGACCTGTCCTCTTGGTCGGTGCCGCCATCGATGCGCACATAGTTCACGGGCGCATACTGCTTGGCGCCCTCCAGCGCCGCTGCCAGCCGGTTCATCACAGTCTTGTGGTGAGCAAACACTAGGAACTTGGGGCCACCAGAGTCGCCGCTGGTGCTGGCGCAACCATCCCTGCTGGGGTCGCCGCCGCCAGCCGCATCCTCCTCGTCCTCAGCCTACAGGCCAGGCAGGCAGCCACGCAGCCGGGCGCAACAGAATAAGCCACTTGCTGACCCTGCAGTGCCTCCACATCACCAAGGGACGCGCCCACAGGATTATCAGGCACAGGCAACATCTTGCTTGTCCTTTGCCTGTGCTGCCGCGGCAGTAGCTCACCTTCTGGCCTGTGCCACCCTGCTGCCTCTGGCTCTTGCGTGCCCCCAGCGCCGTCATCAGCCAGTCGATGACGCTGGATGCCTTGGCCAGCCCGGTGCGGTGGGCGGCACTCATGGGCTTGGCGGACTGGCCGCCGCCATCCGCATCCTCTGCCCCCTCCTCCCCCTCGTCCTCGCTGGCTGAGCTGGCGCTGCCCTCGCTGTCATCTGCATGGCGTGTGGCCCCCTCTGCCAACTTGGGCCACTCGGAAGCGGCAGGCTTGGGCAGGCGGATCACCTGGCGGCGCTTGGGAGGCAGCTGCAACAGCCGGGCAGCGGCAGCAAGCAGGTCGGCGGCGGGCAAGGTGCCCGCTCAACTCCCCAGTCCCCTCCGCAACAGCTGGCAACGGAGGCGCACTGCATGGCTTTTGGCAGCCCGGCCCAGCGCCCCCATGCCACTTGCCTGCGACAGCACATCCTGCTTCAGCCGCCTCAGCATCACCTCCGCCTTGAGCATGTCGTGCAACTCGCCGCCCCGCGACAGCCCGCCAACGTCCCAGCGTGTGGTGCGCTCCCCGTTGTGCACCGTCAGCGCCACCTCACGCCGGTTGCAGTAGGCGGAGGCAAAGCAGATGCGGTTGGCGCCCAGCAGGCCAGGCGCCACAGCATCCACCTGGCGGAAGAGGTCAAAGGGGCGGCTCAGGCTGGGGGTGCCCGTCAGCAGGATGGCGCGCCTGGCCAGCTTGACCGCCGTGACCGTCGCCTCGGTGTGCAGCGCATCAGGTGGCTTGTTGGATGTGCGCAGCGTGTGGCTCTCTGCATGCGGTGCGGGGGCACGGTTGGCAGGCAGGCAGGCAAAACTCGGGACGGGGTCGGCGCTTGCGCTGCCCTGCAAGCCACTCACCATCCACAATCACCACTTTCCAGCGCTGGCTGGCCATACAGTTCTGGAGGTCGCGGCACGACGGGCGCCGGCCCGCGCGCATGCCGGCACCCTGCACCACCCTGTTCTTGCAGGCATCGCAGGTCAGGCGCTGCATCATTTCGTAGCTGGTGATGGTGACCAGCGGCAGTGCGCCCTGCAGGCAGGCGGGCAGGCACGGGCCAGCGAATGGTTGCTGATGGCAGCCTGCTGCATGCATGAAGCATCAGACAGCACCGGCGCATGGGACCATCCATGCCGCACGCTCGCATGCCCGGCCTCAGCTCCGGCTCACCCGCGCCACGCGGTCTTCCTTGCCCTCGACCAGGTGGATGCACGCTGGGCGCAGGTGAGGCAGCCACTTCTCCAACTCCTCCGCCCACACAAGGCGCAGGCTGGCGGGCACAATGACCAGCAGGGGCCACTCCTCCTGTGAAGACGACAGTTGATGCGGCCAGGTGGGAGGGTAAGGGAATCATGATGTGGTGGGCAGTAGGTAGACAAGGCACGCCACCAGAAGGTCGACAGCGGCTGACCACGCCTCTGTCAGTTGGCAGCCCACCTGGAAGCAGCTGGCCAGCGCAATGGCCTGCACCGTTTTCCCGACGCCCATCTGGCAGGGTCAGCGGCGGCAGGTCAGCGGCGGCAGGTCAGCGGCAGCGGAGGTCACCACGCACGTAGCAGGCGCAGCACGTAGCAGGCGCACAGGCTCAGCAGGCTGCTGTCGTGTTGTCGCAAACAAGCGACAATGCATTGTCGCTTGTTTGCGACAACAGGCACCAGCACCAAGCACCAGCACCAAGCACCAGCACCAAGCAAGCAGGCAGCTGCAAGTAGGCAAGCAGCAGCAAGCAGCACGTAGAGCAAGTAGAGCAGCAGGCAAAACAAGCAGCAGACAAACACAGCATGCCAGCGTGTCAGTAAGTGGGCGAGGCATCCAAAGAGAGGGAGCTTGCACCAACCTCGTCGGCTATGAGGCAGCGGCCGGCGCGTGCCAACCCAAACAGCACGCCCTCGCGCTGGAAGGGCAGCAGCGCAGCCTCCAGGAAGGCAGGCATGCGGGCATACAGCGCCCGCACCTCGGCAGGCGGTGGCGGTACGCGCCACGCGCCCCTGCAGGGAGGCAGGCCAGTCAGGGGCGGTCTGAATGGGAGGAGGCTGCACCACGGCTCCATTGCTTTGGTGGAGTGTACCAGGCGGCGCGCTGAGCATGCCAATGTTCACTGCGCTCTCGCGCACCCCCACCTGGCAGCTCTAAGGGTGGGGATCGGAATCATGCCTGCATTGGGCAGCAGTGTGACGCCCGACTTGCGGCCAAACTGCACCAGTGTGCTGCTCAACCTCTCATACTCGGACAGCGGGAACACCACAGGCCACAGGCTGGGCGGGCTTGCAGAGGCAGCCGCCATGGGCGCAGGTGGTGGCTGTGCCGGCGCTGCCTCCTGTGCTGCAGCTGATGCGCTCTGGCTGGTGGCCGCCACTGAGCTGCTGGCTGGTACACCAGGAGGCACTGCCGGCAGCCCCAATACCACTTGCGCCGCGGCTGTTGTGGCCTGAGCAGCCTGGGCCTGCACATGTGGGGCTGCTGATGCCGTCACTGCCGCGGGTGGGCACACCGAGGCCTCCTCAGGCCCTGGCACTGTCGCCAGCACGGCCAGAGCCCGCCTCATGTCCACACCAGCCGCTCTCAGCACCACCGCCACCCCGCCGCAAAAACGAATCGCATCCTCTGCGCCCAGCATCGCCGCCACCTCGATTGCGCCGCGGTGCCTGTCCAGCACGATGCACAACTCGGGAGACAGCTTTCTGGGAGGCGGATACTCGCGATAGGCGCAAGAAACGTTGGAGCAGGCCCAGAAGGACAAACCGACTGCTGCCAAGTTGACCAGCTGCACCGTGCCGCCACATCCCCGGCCATAAACGCCAGGGCACCTGCATGCGTCAGGTCGGCGGCCGGGTAAATGGCTGCGCACAATGCAGAAGGAGCAGGGAGTCGCACTATACTGAGCCAGCAGCCGAGCCGCACCTGTCATGCATGGGTCGTAGCAGCGGCGGCGGGAGCTTGGCAAAGTGGCGGGTGCGGTGGCACAGGTCTTGGGCGGTGAGCGGCGGGCGTGCGGCGGACCCATTCAGCTGCTGCGGCGCGGCTGCAGGGCCTGCTGCGGCGGGGGGAGGCCCCTGCGGTCTTGCCTCTGCACTGGCTGTCGTGTGCTGTTGCTGCTCCGGCGGCTTGTGCTGCTGCCGTGACGCAAGCGCGTTCGCTTCCAATAAGGCCAGGGCGTCCAGGTCCCACTCCTCCTCGCCCTCGTCATCCCAAGACATTCTCGCTGCCACGCTACCTGAACGCTTCTACATCGCCTATTTAGCCACCACCAGGCTGGTCGTGGTGAAGAGAGGACAACGCACATTCAATCGAGGTCTTGGTGCGACGAGCACACCAGTGAAATGCCCCGCTGGCGCCATTGGGCGCCGGCGCTAGCCCGGCAAAACGCGCCATTATGCTACATGAATTACATTCTCGCTCGGCAGTCAGCCCACAAAACGTCAATTCGCGAGTCAAAAATGGTGTCATGGAAACAATCATAGTTTAACTGCATGCTCAGCGGCAACAAAATGCGGCGGGCGGGGGCTGGCAACGCGGCAATGCTCCCGTCGTGTTTGTTCGGTTTCACGCCACGCTGAGCAGCTCCACACGCAGGTCGAAGCTGGGGCAATCTGGGGGGATCTCCTGCTCGCCCTGGCTGCCATATCCTAGCTCGGCAGGCACCAGGAGGCTGCGCTTGCCTCCCACCCGCATGCCCACCACCGCCATCGACAGCGCCAGCGGCGGCTTGGGGCCGCCGCCTCCCGCATACAGCCCACCCGCGCTCTCCACCATGCGCCGTGCCGATTCGCCTGTCAGCGGCTGTCCCGCGATGAACTCAAATGGCTGCATGGCCAAGGCACAGACAGAAGGGCCAAGCCACGTTCAATGCTGTTAAAGGCAATATGTCTGGCAGGCAGTCTTGACCACCAGCAGCCAGCAGATTTGGCTGGCCCACCATGAAATGCACATACCCATGCCAGCAGCACAGCCTGGCAGCTTGCAGGCTGCCCTCAACCATCGCAAGCTGCATCCCATTCACCTCTGCCACTGTCCGGTTGCCGCCCAGCACTCTTGCCGTCCGCGTGGACACCACGCTGAGCCCGCGGTACTTGCAGTCAAAGTGCACCATCACACGGCTGCCCTCTTGGATCAGCGCACCGCTGCCCTCCGCCAGGTCATAGTATCGCAGCCGGGGCTCCACGGCTGCAACGCATGGCCGTCGGTACGGCATTGGGGGCACGTGTCGGATGCAGGAGCTGCAATGCCCGAACTGAGGCGGCACAGCTTCCAGGACCAGACCAGCAACAGCACATGCGTCTGCGCACCTAGCTCAACATAGTCCTCGGGAGGGATGCTCTTCTTTTTCAGCTCCTTCTTGAAGCTGCATGCTTGGGCCGTGCGAGGCAGGGCAGGAGCGGCGGACCGTAAGGTGGGAGAGCTACTCCTCTCAAGACTGCCGACTGCCAGCATGTGCAGTTCGATCCAGGTATTGACTCACCCTAGGGCGTGTGCAGCCGAGGGCTGGGCCGCCAGAACGGCGGCCAGCACTGCTGCCTGCAGTTGGCGGCGAGAGAGCTGCGGCGTGGCGGGTCGTGCGCCGGCGGCACCCTGTCCTGCTGCATCCGCCACCACGCCACGGCGCTGTGCTCGCGTCCTGCACGTCCGGCCTGCTATTTGATTGGTGGCCTGGAAGGTCAGCCGCACTGGAGTGGCCATAGCGGGCGACAACAATTGCTGCCTGGCGTATCCCTGGGCTTGTCCCTGCTCCCACCGATGGCAATGGGAGTCAAGGAGACGGAGGTTTGTGGTCGAGGATGACAATTCTGGTCAGAATGCAAGCACCACGCTGTCTCCAGCTGGACACTCCTTGGATCTGTCTTCTTCTGCAAGCACCACCGAGTAGAGCCCCCCACCGCAGTGCGGCTGCCAGTTGGCTAGTGCCGCCTTTGGGTTGCTCCCTCAGGCGACCCCTTGGACATTTGCACCGGTGCACCCTGCAAAGACCCTGCAAAGCCTGCCTTCCTGGGTGGATCCACCCCCCTACACATCCGCAGCAGCTGAGGCGGGGTCCAGCGATGCGCAGGCACGTAGCCCAGTTCTGCAGGCAGGCCCTGGCAGAGGCGCAGGGGTGCGCTTGCAGGGGGGGCAGCACGTCGGGGAGATCGGAGCTGACGTCCTGGGCGTCCTCGGCAGGCCGCCAGCGCTGGCTGTCCGAGAGCGCCCATGCCGCGACACTGGCGGCAGGCGGCAGCGGCGCAGCAGCAGCCTCCGCGGCGGCGGCGGCAGTGGGCGGGCGACGAGGGCCGCCCTCGGGGCTGCGCCGCCTGAAGCTCATGCTGCAGAACTACAAGCAGCTGTCCAAGATGCGACTCAGCCTGCTGGTGGTGTCGACTGCGGCGGCGGGCTATGCGGCGGGCAGCAAGGAGCGCATCGACTGGGCGGGGCTGGGCTGGACCTGCCTGGGCACCATGATGGCCTCCTCCTCAGCCAACGCCCTCAACCAGGTGTATGAGCGGGTGAACGACGGCCTGATGAAGCGCACCATGAACAGGCCGCTGCCCACGGGCAGGATGAGCGTGCGGCATGCGCTGGCCTTTGCGGCACTGGCGGGCGCCGGCGGCGTGTGGCTGCTAGCTGACAAGGTGCGGGGGCACCGGCTGGCTGGGAGGTGCAGGTGCCGGCACAGATCGATCCCTGGACTTGCCTGGTTTGGGCCGAGCGAGTGTGCGGCGATTGTGGTGCTTCTCCCAGCCTGCAGTCGCACGTGCCCCGATCCTCCTGCCTGCCCGCCCTCCTGCCTCTTCGCAGACCAACCTGACCACCGCAGCGCTGGGGGCGGCCAACATCGCGCTGTACGCAGGCGTGTACACTCCTCTGAAGCAGATCAGCATCGCCAACACCTGGGTGGGGGCCATCGTGGGCGCGGTGCCGCCCCTCATGGGCTGGGCGGCAGCCACTGGCGGGCTGGATGCCGGTGCAGCCATCCTTGGCGCCGGGCTCTACTTCTGGCAGATGCCTCACTTCATGGCGCTGGCCTGGATGTGCAAGGCGGACTATGCAGGTGTGTACAATGGGCAAGCAGGCTGCCGGGCATCATTGACGAATGAGTGTGATGGCAGTACCAGCTAACTGTCCCTGCTGCTGCCCTTCCGCCCCTGCAGCTGGCGGCTACCGCATGCTGTCGCTGATTGATGCCACGGGGCGGCGCACCGCAGCATGCGCGCTGCGCAACTGCATCTACCTCTTCCCGCTTGGGGCCCTGGCCACCTGGCTGGGCATCACCTCTCCCTACTTTGCCTACGAGTCAGGTGGGTGGGCTGCGGCTTGCTGCCACCCTTCCCTTACCCAGGTCTCAGTATAAGCTGTGAACTGCCTGGGAAGATGCGCTAGCCATGCCTGCTAGTGTCTATCCTCACCCCACTCTGCCGTGGCCCGTCTGCCTGCCCACGCGCAGCCTTCATCACTGGCGGCATGATGCTGACGGCGGCCAAGTTTTACGGCTCCCCCAGCAACGCCAACGCCCGCCTGCTCTTCCGCGCCTCCCTGCTGCACCTGCCCCTCTTCATGGCCGCCTTCCTGCTGCACCGCGTGCCCAACACAAACGAAGACAAGGCGGGGCTGCTGATGCTCAATGCACGGCGCCTGGGCCTGGGGCAGCCGCTGGGCCCGGAGGACCTGCAGCGCTCCTCGCCAGCTGGCCCGGCCGACAGTTTGCAGCGGCAGGAGGCGGAGGATGACGACGAATCGCTGGGGCAGCAGACGATTGCCGGGCTGGCGCGTGTGCGCCTGTCCTTCCTGCCGCTGCCCTTTGTGGGGGTCCTTCCTGCAGTTCAGCTGAGCTGCCCCTCCAAGGCGAGCTGCGAGGAGGCAGGTGGGGAAGCAGAGGGGCAGCAGCAGCAGCAGGATGGAGATGGGAAGGGGGCAAAGGCAGCTGGCAAAGAATGAGTGCCAAGGGTCAGCTGCTGACACCCACCAATTGGACCAGTTTTGCAGCTTTTTGCTATCTAACCGCGATCAATGTATACCTTGTTGCCCTCTTTTCCTCAACTGTTTTTTTAGCATGTATCATCTCCCAATTTGATTCTGCCCATAACAGCACCAGCCACAGGAAAACAGATCATCACTAAGAGGCTGGGGGTGGGGATGATGTGGCCAGCCGCCTACATGAAGAGCGCATCCCCTACAGCAGAAAGAGGTAGTAGCCGGTGTCATCGGCTGCAAACAGCAGAAAAGATTCGGCCAAGCAGGTGTCGGGATGCCTGGATTGATCTCAGCTGTGCCCGGCTGCTAGCATCCACTGCTCAAATACATAGGTCGAAGCTGCCGATGCTGGTAGGGAATGAGGAGTCGGGGTCCATGGAGACTGCAAAGGGCCGGTGCAAGCAAGGCCATTTGTGGCGAAGCCTCAGGGGAAGGGAGGGGGAGGGCCTTCGAGTCACCTGAGTCTGCTGTGAAGTTGAAGAAACTGGACGTGGAGGCGCTGCCAGAGCAGTCGCCACTGCTGTATGCCTCCAACTGCGCAAGGCGGCAGCAGGGCGGCCTAGTTATCGAGCAACAACCCGCCTTGGTGCGGCAGCGGTAGGCAGAACCGACGGAGCAACGACGGCGCTGCGGCACCCACGTTCACGACCCCGTCCACATTGCCACTCTGAACCAGCACCAGCAGTGGAGGTTCCGAGGTGTCGGTGATCAGTTGGTAGCTTTGCTACAAGAGGAACAGATGCTGGTCGGGGTTCCGTCAATCTGCCGCCTCCATGGGCCGCTGCCAAACCCTGCTTCCAACCTCACCAGCTCACCGGCAGGACGCCACATGAGGTGCAGGAGCCAGGGTCAGGAAGGGGGATAGGGTCCGTGATGATGGAGCTGCCGTTTTGCAGCTGTAGGCTGACCTGGGCCTGGGCGCCCTGGGCGGCGGCTTGCCCAGCAGCAGCCAGCAGCAGGGGGAGCAGCAGGACCGGTCGCAGCATGGTGGTACCCAGGTGAGAAAATTCAAACTTTGCAAAATGCAGTTGGCATGCCTGGTGTCATCCGACAGCATCAGCACGCTGACAGTGCCAGCTCCTCCTGGCCATCTCCACACCTGCCCGTCTGCTTGTCGTCCCGTGTGCTCTCTTCAACCCGTTCCTGTCTGGCTGCCTGCCTCTGTACGTGCACTGGTTTACACCAGCTGCCCAGGGCCAACCAAAGGGTCACAGCGTGTGGGGTCAGAGGAGCGGCAGCTGCATGGTGCCAAGCTTGTCGGCAAGCGCCAGGTGCGCCTGGATGAGCTTGGAGAGGAACAGGACGAGCGTGCAGTCGTTCTGCTGGTCCGTTAGCATGCGCTCAAACTCCTCCCGCCCAAAGTGCGGCACCGCCGCCACCGTCTCTGCCAAGTATCGCCCAATTGCGGTGTTGCCCTTCCGCTTGCCCGCCTACGCACACAGAGGGCAGCAGAGGCACAGCAGAGTGAAAAGTGATCGGCAGCTGAGTTATAGTCGGCAGCGCCAATCAGTGGGGCAGGCGGCTCCAGGCAGGCCCCCTTCAGGGCGCTCACCACCACCGCATCCACATAGTCCTGCGCTTGTTGCAAGCTCTGCTGCAGCCGCTCAAACGAGTCCGCCAGCCCCTCCATGTCGCCCGGAAGCTTCTCCTGCAGCTCAGTGCTGCAGCAGGGAAGCAGCGGCCGGGCATAGCGCTCAGCAGCTGGCAACCTCATGGCCGGCGCAGCCAAGGCACACACTTGAGTGCTGGCTGCGCAACTCCACCGGCTGGCAGACGAGCAGGCACATGCGCACGTCTGCCAACGCCTTCCCGCCACCCCAGGCACCCACCTGAGCAGGTCCACGCCCACGCGCTCCGCCTCGGTGCTGCGCACTTCGCAGTCCACCTCTGAGAACTCGCGCGCCAGCTCTCGCCCACCGATGGACAGCGCGCACGACACAAACGCCCGCACGCTCATGGTGCCGCCCTGCCCGCTCGTGTCCAGCGCCAGGTGCACCGGGTTGGGGCACTCGTTGCCGTAGAAGGAATGGATGAGGGCGTCGCGGGAGCGGGAGGCGTCGGGGTCGCCGGTGGAGAACCAGCCCACAATCTGCTCCCGCGAGTTGACGCGGTGCTGCAGGGCCGCCATGGTGTGGTGGTGCTGCACATCCAGCGCCACCTGCGCCACGCCAAGGGCACAGGGGAGGGCAGGAAGCCCGGCCAGCAGCCGCGGATCAGCCAGGGCACACACCGTGCTGCTACCGCAGCAGCTGGACCCAACATGGTGCGTCTGCGGCTGCATCCAAGGCATGCTGATGCTGCTGTTGGGCGCGGCACGACCGCCCCGAAAACCTTCCACATCCGCACCTGGTCATGGCTCTCGCTGTGCGGCACAGCATAGCAGTTCTTCACCTCCACCACGCCATCGGCAATTGTGCCCAGCAGCGTGCCAATCACGCGCTCCTGCTCCTCCTTGCGCCGCAGAAAGGCATCGGTGATGGTGAAGAGCACCACCGGATGCACCCTGCAGGTAGCGGTACCCAGGCATTTAGGCATGGGAGCGGTCAGCGAAGCAGCGCGCCCAAGAGGGCAGTGGCGATGCTATCACTGCCGACGCAAACTCTCTGGCAACCTGGCTGGCGTGTGCACTGTGCGCACCTCACGCTGTTCTCTGTGGGCCCCACAGCCAGGGTGAGAGGCGTGGGCGCCATCTGCCGCAGCTGATCGACCAAACTGGCTGCAAGTGGTGGCAGCGGGCTGGGCTCCACACTGCAGCAGCAGGGAAGCGCCGGTGGGCTGCTGGCGCAAAGGCATTTTGCTGCCTGCAGATGATGGTCGGCTCAGCGCCAGGCGCCACCCACCGCCTCTGCTGGCGGCAGTGTGCCATGCATTGAGCGGCCATCTCGGCGGCATCGCCACCCTGCCCGCCCGGACTGCTGTTGCCCAGGCCGTGTGCGGGGCCTCAGTGCCCCCTAGGCGGCTCTGATGCTGCTGTCCCCAGTGTGCATCCTGCGGGCGCCCATGTGGCGTACGAGTGCCCGCCCCCCTCACCTCGATGTCCAGACACCACCTAAGCCGGAGGAGTGGCCTGCGCCTAAAGCCGGAGGAGTGGCCAGCCGGCAATCAAAGTGCAGAAGAGGGCAAAAACAGGCTGTGGCTAGTGCGACAAGAAGACCAAATCCTGCAAGCGCCAGGCCGATCGCTGCCCGGGGCAACGGCCAATGTCACGCCGCCGCGCACGCTGACCCCGGTCCGCGGCGGCGGCAGCGCCAAGGTCCACGAGTCAAAAACGCGCTTGCAGAGTTACAAATGCGTTGTTTCTAGACGTGTGAGTCCCTGTGCTCAGTCTGAGAATGCTGTCAAAAAACTATGTGTCAAGGGAGGTTGAAGAGGGGATACAGCTGAGCAGTGGGGGGTGACAAGAGACGACAGGATGAGGGTACAGGCCCGTCTGGAGAAGGAGAGCAGGGCAAAATTGAGCCAGAGAAGGGTATGAGTATGTGGCAGAGTAAGAACGCAGAAAAAGTGAAACACTGTTTTCAACATGCGAGGGGTCCGCCTGCTGCCGGGAAAAAAATAGAGGTGCAAGTGTCAGGCAGGCATGCCCGCCGAGGCAGCTGCAATGTGCATGCAGCAGTGTGCTGCGTTGTGCATGCTGTGCATGCGCTCAATATGCGGGTGTGGGTGTCCGCCCTGGCGCGGATGCCGCCGCGCCACCGTAGTCATCGCCATCGGGGCCCCCGCCAACCGCCACCGGCGGCAGCACACCCGCCACGTCATCCTCATCCAGGCTGCCAGCCACGCTCATGCGATGGGCGTGGCTGGGGTCATAGTGCTCCGCCAGATCATCAACCGCCCGTGTCCAGCTGCGCAGCATCACAGCATAGAAGACGGCCAGCAGGGGCAAAATGCCGCCCAGGGTGCCGCCGCTGCAAGCAATTGAAGCAGCGGAGAGATCTGGACATGCAGCGGTTGAAGACCAACCATGTTGCCAAAGCCTGTCAGCTGACCGTGCCAATGCAGCAAGCATTTCTCACCGCGCACTGCTCTTTGCATTGCAGGGAGAGCGCACAGCAGGCAGCCGGGGGGCGCTCACCTGAGGATGAGCAGCGCCTGCTGCAGCACGCTGCCGATGCTCTTGCCGCTCTGCGCGCCCACCACGTCGATGGCGGCCTTGCCCTTGGTGCGCGACTCGTCATCCAGCCCGATATACACCATCTCCTCGGCAGGTTTGAACAGGGAGAACTTGGCGCCGCGGCTGAACACCTGCGGGCAGGGGGCAGCGGCGGCCATAGAGTGGGCACGCAAACGTTTGTGCCGTTGCCGGACGAGGCCCTGGTGAGCACGCCTTACTCCCGTTCCAGCTTCCACTCTTCCCGCAGCCTGCCAGCCTCCTGTGAGGAGCAGCAAGTGGCCCACCTGCATGACGGCGCCCGTCATGACCAGCGCAAACAGCACCATGCCGGCGGGCCCTACTGCCAGCGACCCCGCCATGAAGGTGAAGGCGATGCAGCCGGCGAAGAAGGGCAGGCCCGCAAAGAGCATGAAGTTGGGGGTGACAGAGGCCACACCACGCCAGCCGATGCGGTCAAACAGCAGCGGCGAGGCAAACATGAGGGTGCCTGCAGAGGGGGGCCAGGGAGGCAGGGGTGGAGGGACTCAGGGAGAGGTGCTGGCATGGGCACAGAGCTGGCGAGCGCGGCCTTGGGCGCCTGCCTGGTCTAGAGTGCTTGCCCCAGCCAGCTGCCCAGCCGCCCCCGCCCCACCATGCCGCATTATGCGCGCACCCGTGACAATGCCGGTCCACATGGCTGTGTCGCCCAGGAACGCAGAGTAGGCTGCGGGGGTGGTGGCCAGCTTGTGCAGGTAGTGCTTCCAGGCCAGGTCCAGCAGGTTGGTGGTGATGCCCTGCACACAGAACAGCCGGTTGCTTCAGGCCGGTTGCGTCGGGTCGGGCGGCTGGCTGGCAGGGCATTCAGTGGTGCGCGCTGCAGCGCTGCCATGCAGTGCAGCGCCAGGCGCACCTGAGCCAGCGCCATCACTGCCAGGCACTGTATTTGCGGGCTTTTGCACAGGAACTGCCATGCATCCTTCATGCTCATCGCCTCCTTCTTCCGCTTCTTTTTTGCCTGCTGCTGCTCCACCTCTGCGGCGGCATCCTGGTTGCTGGACCCCGCCTGCGTGCTGTCTGCCACATGCCCATTCCGGGCGTGGTTGCCGCCAGCCAGGGGCGTCTCTGTCGCTGCTGCTGCAGCAGCGTTGACGGCTGTCTGCTGCGGCGGCAGCGCGGCGCCATTGTTGCGCAGTGCCGCCGTGCCATTAGCTGGTGGCGGCGCCGCGCCATTTCGCTGCGCCGCTTCCTGCTGCTCCTCCAGGCTGCAATAGTTCAGTCCCTTCACCGCAGCCTCCAGGTCCAACGCTCTGTGGTGGGGCTTGCTGCCGTCTGATGCTGCGCCTGCTGCCACTGCACGCCGCTGCGCTGCCAGCTTGAGTGCTGTAGATCCCTTGGGGTTCTTTGGGAATGTGCGCGAGATCCAGGCATGCAGCGCCAGGATCACGCCACCCAGGCCAAGGCACAGGAACATGATGCTCTGCAGCTGTGACGCATAGTGGAGCTGGCTGCTGCTGCCCGCATCACTAAACAGGCGCAGCACGCGGCCTGCAGGTGGGAAGGCGGCTTGCAGTTCAGAGCACGACTTGCGCTGCAATGCGAGTCAACAGCGCGGCCACATGGGCGCGTGTCGTTACTGTCTGCACCCGCAGCAACTCCCTGCACCCACCTGCCATGGTCTGCGCAATGTTTGCCCCGATGCCAAACAGAGGGTACAGCAGCGGCGCATCCTCAATGCTTGTGGTCTCATTGGCCAGCCCCCAGAACAGAAGGCTCAGCACCACGTCGCCCCACAGCTCGCTGACACAATAGAACAGGGTGAACAGCCAGTTACGAATCATGCCCACCATGCCTGCGGTCAGAGGGGCAGGCACGTTACGGGGTTTGACAAATGAGTGCAGCCCAGCAAACAGGGACCCGAGGTTGGGTGAGCTTGTGCCTGAAGACGGCCCCCAGCAAGCTGCTGGGTGCACCTGACAACCCCGACGGCAGCGCTGTCACGAGCTGGTCTGCCATGGAGTTGAGGTGCAGCGCATCGTGGTGGGGGTACAGCATCGCAAAGCCGGCGTAAAAGGTCAGGAAGATGCCGATGATGATGTTGAACAGCTTCTCGCGGCTGCACGGCCAGGGGGTGCGGCAGAGCGATGTGAGGCCTCAACTAGCTGAGCTCCACCCCATGCCACACTTGCCGCTGGCCGCACCTGAAGCGCTGCGTGCCCCACGAGTATGCCACCAGGAAGAGCATGGACATGGGCAGCACGGCATAGACGGTGAGGTAGGGGATGACCTCGGTGCCGCCGCCCACCGCGGTGATGACCAGCGAGTCCTTCAGGCTGTCGATGATGGTGTTAACAAAGGCCATGAGGAAGAAGAGCAGCGACATGGGGATGAACCTGCACACGGATGAGGGCACGGCGGGCGGAAAAAGGGAAGGGGAGGATGACCGAGGGGACAAGCAGCAGTGGCTTAGGGGAAGGGCAGCAGCAGCAGGGAAGCGCCGGGACGCGGCTCATCATTGGTTTGGACCAGCACAGCTGGTTGATTGGCAGCCACTGCTTGTATGTTGTGTTGCAGGACAGCTCGCAAGACAGCGCACACGAGGATGCACCGCGGCGACTTACTTGTCCCACAGCCCATCCAGCCTCCGAACCTGGGACTGAACCGATGCTGCCAGTGCGCCCAGCACTCCAACTGGCTGCTCAGGTGTCACCGCTGCCGCTGCCGCCACTACAGCCGGACGCCCTGCTGCAGCTCCTCCAGCTCCACCCGCCCCTGCAGCAATTAGCTGCCAAGCTACTGCTCTTCGGCTGCGCAGGGTGCGCAGAGGTGGCACCCCCAGTGGCCTGCTGGCATGCCCTGCACAGCAACGGGGGCGGGGCTGGGGCAAGGGTTGGCGGCAGGCCTGTGCAGGTGGCGGAGGCACCTTGGTGGCCGACAGCGCGACGGCACCCGCAGCTGGGAGTGCCCGCACCCCCCCAATGTACACTGCAGGGTGAGCACCTTGAGCTGCTGGTCTTAACCGGGCCTGGGCCACCGAAAGTCTGCATCTAGGTGCTTGGAAGGAAGCCGGGGCTACCGATGCCCTGCAAGCAACATTCTTGCTTCAGAACAAGTAACCGAGGCTGCAGGGTGGCTAACAACGCTGCTGGGGCAGCATGCATCTTGTTGCAGGGCCCGTGTGAGGTTGTGGCGCACTTGACGGCTCTGGAACGCAACATCGATCGTTGTAGACGAATTCAGACAGGCCGCAAGGGCCGCCAGTGGCCGTGCAGCCGCCGACTGAAGCAGGTGCCACCACCGCTGCTCGGCAGGTCAGTGAAAGATGAATCGCTGTTATGTAGCTATGTTATGTGTGCTGTTATGCCCCGGAATTCTGGATTCTTTTTGGACAACGCTGAGCTGAGTGGGTCCAAGCTGTCACTTGCCCGCTCACAATCAGGTCCTTCGCCCATGTGAAGTCATTACATCGCCCCATCAACATTGCTGCCATGTCTGGCAGGAGGCGCTGAGGTCTGAGCAGACTTGAGCATCATCTGGAGCTCCAGGAGGGGGCCAGCCGGCGGCCATGGCGTCGATGGAGACGGGGGACGGCTATAGGGGACGAGGCAGGGGACGCGGAGGCGGCAGGGGCGGCTACCAGCGCGATGATGGCTGGTATGGGGGCGGCGGCGGCGGCGGCGGCAGAGGCGGAAGAAGCAACTACAACAGCGGCGGCGGCGGCGGCAGAGCCCCTTACAGCAGCTACAGCGACGGGGGGTACTACGACGGCGGTGGCGGACGTGGAGGACGGGGCCGCGGCTACTCGCAGAACTTTTCTCAGGGCGGCCGTGCCCGCGGCCGGGGTTACTGGGGTGGCCGAGGTGCGGCGTGCAGCTTGAGTCGTAGGCTGACCTGACTCCTGTGCATCGTCTGTCCTGTGCAAGCTGAGCTGCTGACTATGCTGCCGCCACTGTGCAGGCGGCGGGCGTGCACGAGGAGGCGCCGCCGGCGGGCGCGACGGACCCTCGGACAGGCAGGCTGCGGCGCAGCGGGAGCCGGCACCAAACGACCTGGAATTCGTGGCGGAGCTCAAGGGGCACACCCGGAAGGTCACCAGCGTGCTCATGGATGAGGCCACCGGCCAGCTGTTCACAGGCAGCCACGACGGCACCGTGCGCGTGTGGAGCTGCACCACCGGCCAGGTGTGGGGGAATAGAGGGGATGGCTGCATGAGCAACTGTTGTGCTGGCTGGGATGTGTTCCAATGCTTGGCCTGCTGACTCATGCGTGTTTCCTGCCCCAATCCCGCCTCATCCCATCTTGTGCAGTGCACCAGCACGGTGCAGGTTGGCGGCGAGGTGGCGTGCATGCTGGTGTTTGCCGGGTTCCTGTTTGTGGGGATCAAGACCAAGGCGGGGGCGGGGCAGGTCAAGGCGTGGAACATGGCCACCAACCAGGAGTACCTGATGGAGGGGCACGTGGTGAGTGGTGCAGGGGAGGGCGGGCTGGTGCGTGCGGGGAAGTGGCAGGCGCGGTTGGGAGGCAGCGAGCGCCTGGGGACGGCAGCCTTTTGCAGGTTGCCAGGGGCGCTCTACGGATACCTGCTGCTGACCTCAGAAGTTTGCCTGCCTGTGCCGTTTGGCCGTCGCCCTGTGCAGGGCGCGGTGCAGGCGCTGGCGGCGGCGGGGGACATGCTGTTCAGCGCGGGGCAGGACGCGTCGCTGCGGGTGTGGAAGCTGGACGCCGCCAGCAACCAGTGGCAGTGTGTGGCGGTGCTGAAAGTAGAGCAGGGCGGGCACCGAGCACCCATCAGCTGCCTCTGGGCCTCCCACCCCTTCCTCTTCTCAGCTGACTACCTGGGCACGCTCAAGGTCAGTTGACGAGCTGCCATGGCAGCGGCACCTATCCAGGCCTGCAATGGGGGGGGGGCGGCGACACGTACATACAGCCGTATGCTGAGGGCGTCCCCGAGGGTGTGCCTGCCCCGCGAGGCCCCTCATCAGCGCGGCAGCATGCTTCGCGGCCCCTCTGATGCTGCTGCTGCAGGTGTGGGACTTGACTACAGGGACGGTGCGGCAGACGGTGGACAAGGCGCACAGCGGCAGCGATGTTCCCTGCATCACCGACTTGACAGTCTGGGAGGGACACATCGTCAGCGCCAGCCTGGATGGCCTGATCAAGATCTGGGAGCCCGCAGACCCTGCCACCGGCCTCATCCTCAACCCGACACCCATCTTCACCTTCCCAGAGCAGGCCAGTTGCAGAGGGCGAGGGCACGAGTTCCGTTGCAGCAGCAATTCACCGCTGTGCACCCGACTGGCTGGCAGGCAACCCAGGGCACCCTTGCGATGCTGACTTGACCTCACACATTCTGCGTGTCTGAGGTGTGTGCAGGAGCCTGGGCAGCGGGATACTAGCCTGAGCGGCATTTTGGCGCTCTGCGGTGTGCCGGATGCGCAGGTCAGTGCCTGAATGCAATGCTGTGGGGTGATGCAGACCCGTAATGTGTGCATCCAGGACCCATGGCTGCTGGGGCACACCATCTCAGCTGCTCAGCACCTGTCTCCTCTCTGGCCTTCCCGCACAGAACCGCTGCGTGCTGATGGCCAGCTACAATGGCGAGCGCTGCATACGGATGTGGGAGCTGCCCAGCTTTGAGGCGCGGGGCACGCTGGGTGATGTGAACAACGCGCGTGCCATGGCAGGGTCGGCCACGGCGCAGCTGGTGTTTTCGGGCGATGAGCATGGGCGAGTCAAGGTGTGGAAGTGGAAAGCAATTGGACCAGGTGGTTTCCCGATCCAGTGATGGTATCCCCTTGAGATCCATGTGCACTTTTCAACCCTCTGCTTGTTTCTTTTGTCGGGCACCGCTCGCTCCCTCCTTTGCTTGCTCCCTTCTCCTCCTTCCTACTCTCCTCCCTTCATCTCTTGTTTATCTTTTGTCCCTCAAAAAAGTGTTTCATTACGGGTTGAAACTTGATGGCAGTGTTAACAGTAGCCAAGCAAGCCTGAGTTGGTCTGGCACAGTGGGGACACGACAAAATGGCGAGCTGGAACTAAGCAGTGGTAGCAAAAGCAAAATAAGCGAAGGGAAGCAGGCAGCAGCAACACATTGAACAACAACAACGAAATGAATGGACGGGCACTAGGTGCGGCCAGGATGCTGCGGTCATCGTCACGCATCTTCGGGGCGCGGCACCACCCGCACCCCCATGGACCGGCAGGTGCCCATGAGCGACTTGCACACCGACTCCACTGGCACCAGCGGCGAGTCCTGCTGCTTCACCGCCGCAATCTCGTATAGGTGCTTGAGCGAGATGGTGGCCACATGCTGGTGCCCCGGCTTCTGGCTGCCGCTATCCATGCCCGCCGCCTTCTTGATGAAGTATGAGGCTGGCGGCGTCTTCATCACATAAGTAAACGTCTTGTCCGCATAGGCAGTGATCACTACGGGTACGGGGACGTTGTCCTGGGGCAGACATGGCGGCAAGGGCGGCAGCAGCAAGGGTCAGCGCCAGCGCCGGAGGAGATCATAACCTTGCTCATGTCTTCGCACGAAACCTCAAGATGGTGCCTCACCTTGTAATCTGCAGTCTTTGCATTGAAATCTTTGCAAAAGTCCATGATTTTCAGGCCTGCCTGCCCAAGCGCCGGGCCCACGGGCGGCGACGGCTTGGCCTGGCCTGCATTGATGACCAGGCGTATGGTGGCCGCCACTGTCTTGGGCTTGACTTTGGACATGGGGCGCGCTGGCCACGCTGCAAGCTCTAGAGCCTAAGCCCGCTGGAGTGCAGGAGGCGGCGGCAGGACCCTGACGCCACAAGCCCCCCGCACGCCGAGAAGCTTCTGCAAGTTCCAAGCAGGCAAATGACGAGGCTGACAACGCGCAGTGTAAGCGGCTGCCCCAAAGGTATGAGCAGCAATGCGGATAGGAGAGCTGCACAATTGCTCAGGTGTCTGGGATTATAGACCACCGTGTTCCACTGCCCAAGCAGCCAATCCCTGCCTGTACTGCGCAAGTGTACCCGCGGGCAACCAACGTGGGTGGCCAAAGGCCCCAACACCATAGGATCGTAACTACAGGGGAGGTGATGATCATAGCCATGCACTTGGGCCTCTGAAGGGAAGCATGCAGTCTTCACTGCTCCTCCCCAGGCTGGGGCCCCGCCCAGTGACGGCGCCGGCCAGGGCACGCTGCCCCAGGCTGACAAGGACTCTCCATGCAGCTTACAGGTGCGGGGGGGCGCTTGTGTGGGTGTCGCGCAGCACCCCTTGCCACCCCAATAGCGGGGCTGTATGCGGCAGCCTCAGCTCGCTGCCCCCGGCGAGCCAGTGGAGCAATGGTGACTCGAACAGGCTGTGGCGCATCGGGGCGGCACCATGCATGTGTGTGGCAGGGGTGCCGCCGGCGGCAGGGCGGCAGCCAGCCCCTGGCCCTGCCAACAGTGGCAGTCGGGCGGTTGATGGGCTGGCTCACCTGCTGCAAGCTGTGCAGGGGTCGCCGCGTCGTGCTGCGGGTGGCAGCCGAGGCGCGGCCCGGCACCGGCACCGGCACTGAGGCAGACCTGCGCAGCCTGTTGATGCGGCTGCGGGAAGACGATGTGGAGTACTTTGACCTCAAGGTGTGCTGCTGCCTTTACGATTGTCATTCAGCAAAGAGCTGCAGGGCCTCGCCGACGCATGAAATGCGGGCCTGCCCATTCCCACAAACAGCGCCAGCAACCCACCGCCCCACCTGCCCGCAGACGCTGTGCAAGGATTGGCAGCTGGGGGGCCGCGACAGCAAGGAGAACCTGCGTGCCAAGCTGCTGCGCCGCGTGCGCCAGGAGCTGGGCCTGCCCATTTTTGGCCCCGACAACGTGCCGCCCTCCACCATGCGCCTGCCCCAGGCCATGAGCCAGCAGGAGCTGCTCCAACTCTTCGAGACGCGGTGCGGTTTCGCCATTTGTGTGTGGCTCGTTGAATAGCAGCACTGGGGATCCTGGGGCACATACTGGTGGTGACTGCCTGGTCCTGGCATGACAGCCTCCTCCCTGCTGGCTGCTTGCTGGTGCAGGGGCTGCATGATGCCCGCCAACCAGGCCCAGGCGCTCATCATGGCCAATGCCCTGCTGGTTGCTGACGGCCTTCTGGACCCCGACCAGGTGCGCCGCATGTGGCGGGGAGCGAGCTGCCGACGGAGTGGCAGCGCCAGTCTGGGGCTGGTGGGCCCGGCGCCGGTTCCTGCAGCTCGAATGCAAGCAACCCATTCCCGCACGTGGCCTACCCTGCAGGTTGTGTGGCCCGAGGCAGTTGGCCCCTGGAGCAGCATGACTGTGGTGCAGCTCAAGGCGGCCTGCACCAGCCGCGGCCTGCCCACCAAAGGGCTGCGGGAGGATCTGATCAGCCGGCTGGAGGAGCAGGATGTGGCACTGGCGGCTGGCGCGGTGGCTGCCGCTGCCGCAGAGGCAGCCGAGGCCGCGCCGCCCTCCACCGCCAACAACGCGCAGCTGCAGGCGGCCCAGGACCTGTTTGCCTCCATGCACCACATGGAGGTGCGCCTGGGCTGCTGCTGCTCCTGGCCACGCCTCTAGTGCTACGCGCACTGCCGCGGGGGTGGCCGACATGCGACTGGCGGCGGCGCTGCCTGCTGTGGCTCCAGCCCTGCCTGTGTGCTTGTGGCCTGCCTGACCCGGCCCGGGGCCCCGCCACGCGTGCAGGTGGCCCAGCTGCGTGAGGAGGTCCAGCGCCGTGGGCTCAAGACCCAGGGCACCAAGCAGGTGCTGCTCGCCAAGCTGAGCGAGGCGCTGGAGCGTGAGGTGGCGGCGGCGCTGGGCGGCGAGCAGCGGCTGGCGCAGTGGGCGGCCAACGCGGTGGGGCGGCTGGGCGAGCAGGAGGTGGTGGCGGAGCTGTCGGTGCGCGGCGTCAGGGCGGATCAGTACCCGACGCCCGAGGCTGCTGCGGCGGCGCTGCAGGCGGTCATGCATCGAGACTGGGTGGCCGAGGCGCTGCACGGCGGCCAGCAGCAGGCGCAGGCAGGCCCAGACGAGGACGGCGAGTGGGCTGCAGGCGGCGTCGATGGTGACGCATACGGCGAGGGCGGCGAGGGCGGCGATGGGGCGGGCATGGGCGGCGGCGGCGGCGGCGACCTGTATGGCGGCCCGTATGGGGGGGTGGAGGCGGCCCGGGCTTGGGTGTGGGGCCGCGCTGGGGACCCCACGCTGGCGCTGTCCCTGCTGGTGGGCGGCCACACGCACGTGCAGCGCGACGCAGCGCTGGCTGCGGCACGCCTGGCGGCGCAGCTCCTGCAGTCAGACCGCAGCCATGGCCTGCTTCCGCGGCAGCAGCTGGAGCTGGGGGCAGGTGGGTGGGATGGCTGGGCCGAGCGCAGCTCCGGCCGCCCGCAATCTGCTGCCATTGGGTTGCCTACATGTCTGCATGTGTGCTTTTGGCTATTCGCGTGCCTGTGGCCCTCGCATATGAAGCGTGCCCCCTGATCTTGATGCAGGTGGCGAGCGGGAAGGCATTGCCGTGAGTGTTCACTATGCCACCGCCGGCACCCTCTTTCCACTTACCTGGGAGCAGCTGCACAGCTGCTCGGCCACAGAGCTGGACACGCGTCTGGCCCTGCAGCCCGACAGCGCCACATCAGCAGCTGACCTGGCGGCCAGTGCCGACGTGGTGCTGCCGCTGGGCTTGCCCCCCAGCAGCGCTTCACTAATGGCTGCAGCAGCCGGCAAGGTGGCGGGCAGCGTCGCTGACGAGGCGGTAGCAGCTTTGGCGGCAGACCGCCTGGCATTTGCAGGCGCAGCAGCACAGCTGGGCTTCCCCGCTGCGCCGGCGCTGCGGCTGCAGCTGGCAGACTTTGCAGATGCGGCAGAGGCCGAGGCACTGGCCGACATGGCAGTTTACGCCCGCCTGGAGGCATTTGCTGCGGAGCACCTTGCCCCAGATGCCCTCCCCCGCCTGGCCGTCCGCATAGAGGCAAGTTGGCAGGTCCTGAGGTGCAAGTTGCTGCAGCCAGCCTGGAACCTGTGCATTGGATAGCGCTAGACTGCTGCTGGTGCAGGCCGCATGGTCTTGCGCGCCTGCGGTGTCCCCAACCGACGCAGCCCACCACTGCCGGTACCTGCTGCAGTTTGGCGGCAGCGTGCTGGGCGGATGCCTGGCGACCGGGGCCCGCGATGCACTGGTGGCTAGCTTGGTGCTGATGCAGGAGCACGGCGTGAGCGAGGTGGTGGTGGAGGCGGTGCAGCCGGGAGCCCACCACTTCACCTGTAGCGTGCTGGCCACAGACCAGGTGCGTGCCACGCCTGGCTGGGCGCGCCACAAGGCCCAGGCATTTTCGCATCCCTGGCTGCCTGTCATGTTCCAGAGAGCGAGCCAGCTGGGCTGCAGGCCTGCGCTTGCACATCACCATCACCAATGGCAAGTGCTTTGCCTGTGTGTGGCGCAGGGTGCGGTCGCGCTGCCGCCCACCGAGCTCAGCTACTGGGATGTGGAGGATGACATCGCCGAGTGTGAGCTGCGCATGGAGCGGTGGCTGGCGGCGCGTGAGGTGGGCCCCCGCCGCGACGCATCGCGGCCACCCCTGGGGATGTGGCGAGGAGAGGCTGGGGCTGCCGGGTCCCGATGCAGGCATGGCGCGGAGGCTGCATCTGAGCTGTGCCCACTTCTGGAGGCATGCATGCTGGGAGCTGTGTGTGGTGGCACACGCGTGCCCCGCTGCCGCCTGTGTGCAGGGCCTGGACCCTGAGGGCGTTGAGGCGCTGCTGGAGCTGCTGCGCCAGGAGCAGCGCTCGCACCCCGGCTACCTGGGCGGGGTTGGCAGCCCCAGCCAGCAGCTGCGCCAGTCGACCCCGCCGGCGGCGCTTTCGGCGGAGGCCACGCAGGCGGTGCGCCAGGCCTCGGCCAAGCTGTTCCAGGGGCTGGGCCTGCGCGACTATGCCCAGTTCAGTGGCTGGGTGCTGCCGCCGCGGCAGCCAGAGCTGGAGCAGGCCCTGAATGAGGCAGCGGCGCTGGAGGCGGAGCAGCAGAAGCAGCAGCAGCAGCAGCAGCAGCAGCAGGATGCGGAGGAGCAGCAGCAGGAGCAGGAGGAGCAGCAGAAAACACGAGGCAGGAGCTTTGCGGAGCTGCAGGCGATAGACGAGGCGGTGCGGGCGGAGGCGGAGGCCGCGAGGGCGGCCAGCGGCTTTGGCGGCGCCGACGACCGCGCCACCGACCGCGCCGGTGCCGCCGACACCAGTGCCGCGAGCGGTTTCCTGGGCGCTGACCTGGCGGTGGCACAGGGCGAGGCGGCGGCTGCGGCTGACTACGGTGTGTTTAGCGGCATTGTCATTGACGACTCCTACCGTCCCACCTGCGACCAGATCCTGGAGCTGGGGCCCTTTGGCCGCCCCATCCCCACGGAGCAGCCGCAGCCGGTGGTGGAGGCCCTGGAAGACCTGTCGGCCGCCTCGCCGCAGCAGCTGTGCCAGCTGGGCAGCGGGCACAGCGTGGCCTTTGCCACAATCAGGTGCGCCAGCTGCGTGGGGTGGCTGCCTTTGCGGTGCCCAGCCACACAGGCGACACATCAAAATGCCCTGCCTTCAGCTCCTGTTGCCGCTGCTTACTTGCTTGCCCCGCCCGCCTTTCCACATGCACAGCTGTACAACCTATCCTCACTCGCCCCTCCCTTTTCTTCCCCTTTTCATTGATGCCCCGCAGCTTAGCGCCCGACCTGGGCACCCCCACCAGCGTGCTGTGCCAGCAGGCGGCGGCGGTGGGCCTGAGCCACGAAGCTCTGCTGCGCCACCTGGTGTCTGCTGCCTCGGTGCGCGCAGGCGGGCTGCCGCTGCCGCCCCTCCCAGAGGTGGCTGCGGCAAAGGAGCAGCAAGCGGCAGAGGGGGAGGCCGATGCAGCAGAGGCAGCACGAGACGCGGCAGCAGGCGAAGCGGGCGAGGGGCAGGAGGGCGCGGAGGCAGGTCGTGACTGGGGCCTTTTGGGACGGCTGGCAGTCCTTGACGAGGCTGCAGTACAGCAGTACATTGACAGCGAGTTCATGTTCAGCAACTGGCTGCCACCAGAGGAGGCGACGGCGGCGGCGGCAGAGCAGGCGACAGAGGACGGTGCTGCGGAAGCAGAGGGCGCCGATGCAGCGGCAGCAGGCGGGGAGGAGGCAGGGGCGGCGGGCGCCTTTGAATTCATAGACGCCACGGACGAACCTTTGCTGGACCCCGTGGCTCAGCTTGAGGCGGAGCCTTCCGTGGGGGCGCCCTACAGCCCCGGGTATGATGAGATCAGGGAGGGGGCCGCCCACATGGGCGTGGGCGACCCCTTGGCGGACTGGACCGCGTCGGCGGCGGCGCAGCAGCAGCAGGACGGCGGCCTAGAGCACATGCACCCCACCAAGCAGCGCGTGTGGGTGCTGCTGGGTGGCGACGGTGCGCGGCGCACGCAGTCGCTGCAGGCAGGCCTGCACGCCTACCTCAGGTGGGGGCTGTGCCGCTCTGCGCCGCCAGCTGGCTGGGTGTGTGCCTGCTGCTGCACCCCCGGCTCTGCCCCACGGCCTGGAGTCGCTCATGCCCGCTCCTCGGCCTGGCTCCCACCCTGCCTCGCAGCCTGCGCAACGACCCCGAGCTGCTGGTGGAGGCGTTCATGCTGGAGCCCAGCGCCGCTGGCACCAGGTGCGGGGCAGCCCGCCAGTCAGCCAGCCGGCGGCAGCTTCTTCACCCGGTGCATGTGATCACACATACATGTGTGCATGCATGCGTACGCTTGCCTGTGTGTGTAATGCTAGTGCGGCCGTGCATACGTGCATCCCTGCATTCCCCCACAAAGGTAGGGCCGCAGCCCTGACCCAATGGCTGCGGCGCTGTTCACTTGTGGGCAGAGCAATCACCTCCGGGACTTGAGACCCAATCGCCCACTGCATGGGCGCCTGGGATGCATGACACCGGCACACTCCTCACAACAACACTGCCCTCCTATGCACCTCAACTCAGTGCCCTGCCCGTCGCTGCCGCCATTGCCGCCTCATGCTGACCCCGCTGCGTGCTTGCGCTGGTGCCTGCCCTGCTGCTGCTTGGTGCAGCGAGATGGAGCGGCGGCGGGTGTTGCTGGACAGGCGGCTGGAGCTGCAGCAGCTAGGGCTGGAGGATGAGGAGATCCTGCAGGTGGGCAGAGCGGTGGTGTGGGGAGGGAGAGCCGATCGAGCACGCCACCATGCATGGGAGCCCCCCGCTCTATCCCCTGCTTGCCCCACCCTTTCTGCCGCCCCACCAGCGTGCCTGCCATCCCCTACCTGTTGCCTCCTGCAGGAGTATGAACATCTTGACCTGTCCCGCATCCGTCACCCTTCCCCTGCCCGATTTGCGCTGGAAAAGTGAGTCGCAGCCTGCAGTCCCTTGTCCAGCCAGCTGCCCTCCCACCGCCGCCCCCTACCTGTCTGCCTGGAGTCGGCTCCAGCCCCTTCCGCCAGCCCCCAGTTTGACCCGCCTGCTTCCAGCCCCTCCTGGGCTCCCTGCTCCTTGCAGCCACGGCGTCTGGCGGCTGTCGGACAGTGGGCTGGTGCGGGGCGAGGTGGAGGACCTGCAGGTTGGGTGTGAGGAGGCGCTGGCCACAGCCAACTCCTCGCTGGCCACGCTGGAGGACCGGGGTGGCGACATTGCGGGCGCGCAGCTCAGGTGGGGGCCACGGGCAGCGGCAGGAGGGCATGCGATCCTGCGCTGCATGAAGGGCCCACCTGCCAGCTGTGCTGGTGCATGGGTGTGATCACGATGCGCACTGCCTGGCTGACTGCTGCGTGCTGCCGCCTGCCGTCCTGTGCTGCAGCGTGGCGCGGCAGGAGCTGGCGCTGCTGGGCGTGAGCCTGGATGGCTCCGCCTGGGGCGGCGCGTCGGCGGACAAGCTGGACCCCGCTCAGTGAGTTGCTTGCTGCTCTCCCTATGACCTTCACAAACAGGCCATCCATTGCAACCTTCTTTCTCCAGTGTTCCCTTCCTCATTTGCCCGGTGCCCTGCTGCTGCTGCTGCAGGTACATGTGGCTGCGCGACTTTGCGGCCCAGGCGCAGGAGGTCGGCGCGGTGGTGCTGCTGGCGCTGGCGGGGCAGCCTGCGGCGCACGGCCCGCTGCAGCGGCTGCTGGAGGAGGCGGGCGTGCCGTACACGGGCAGCGGGCACCTGGCTGCAGAGACGTGCGCCGACAAGGCCATGCTCATTGAGCAGCTGATCGACCTGTCCACCAGCGGCATCTCCACCGCCCCGCAGCAGAAGATTAGCCTGCCGGAGCTCTCAGCGCAGGTGAGGCTGCTGCTCCCCGCCCTTGCCCCAGCCATGCCGAGCTGCGCGACGCTGCTGCTCGACGTGCTCACCCCGTGCTCGCCGCCTCGTGGTGTGCAGTGCGTCGACGAGGCCACCGCGGACCGGCTGTTTGAGCAGCTGCGCAGCTCTCTTGGCGCCGGGCCGGTGTCACTCTGCATCAAGCCCGCCCACGCCTGCAATGGGCTGGGCGTGATGCGGGCAACCGGCGGCCGCGACCTCATGGCCTATGCACAGGTGGGTGGAAGCTGCAAAGGTGTGTGTGTGTGGGTGTGTGTGTGTGGGGGGGGGGGGGGCAGGCAAGAGGGACGTGAGTTGTGGTGCCGCGAGCTTGGAAGCGAGGCTGACACGTCGCTCTGCTGCGCTCATGCCCGTGTTGTGCTGTCCTGCGCTGGTGCGCATGCAGGCGGTGGAGGCATGGGTGGATGTGATGCCTGGCGAGGTGCTGGGCGGCAGCCCTGACGTGGTCATGCCCGTGCCGCCGCCCTCCCAATTCGTGGTGGAGCCGTGGATTGTGACGGAGCCGGTGCGGGTGCTGCGCTCCGCTGATGGTGGCATCGTGCCCCCGGAGGGCCAGGCCTACCCTGATGCGGCCCCCGAGGACGGCCTGGCCCAGGCCCTGCACTGGCCCGCCGCTAGCAGCAACGAGTGGCTGGCGGTGTCGGCAGTGCTGCTAGGCGAGGCCGGGCGCATGCGCTGCCTGGGCCCCAGCGTGCGCGTGCTGCAGCTGCGGGAGGCAGTTGCGGGGCCAGGCAGTGCAGCAGACGTGCTGCAGCGGGTGCAGCAGCTAGCACTGGTGGAGGAGGCAGCTGAGGCGGAGGATGAGGATGAGGCAGATGCTCTGATGGCTGCGGCTGCGGAGCTGGGCACAGGGCATGACGAGGCCGAGCCGCTGCGCCTGCTGACTGGAGCCTTTGACCTGACGCCGCCGCCACCCACGCTGGCACTCCCTACCGCCGTGGCCAGCGCGCGTTTGCGGCTGGAGATGGTGGCTGACCGGCTGGGGTTGAGCGGCGCGGCAGAGGTGGCTGGGTACATGCAGGTGGAGACGGGTGAGGTGGTGGTCAGCGACGTGTCCACCACCCCGGACCTCAGCCCTGGCGCCCTCATATTCCGCCAGGTGGGACCAGTGGAGGGGGTGGCTGGGCAGGTTGGGCCCGCCTTGGGAGTGGGGAGACTGGCTTTCCAGGCGTGCCAGACAGCGACAGGTGGCCCAGTGGCAGCAGCCTGCCCCGCCTCACCGCACCGATTGGCTGATTGACACAGTTCGCACGTGATGTGTGGGTGCAGGCGGCCGCTGCTGACGCGCCCCTGTCGCCAGCCGAGGTGCTGCAAGAGCTCATCCGCGTGGGCCTCACGCAGCCGCTGGATGAGCGCGACGACCTACAGGTGGGCCGGCTGGATGGCTGGCCCTGGTCAACCCTCGGTCAACTAGGGGGCGGCACGTGTGCCCAGGGCACCCCCACCCGGCTCCCACCCCCCAGGGCTCCATCTCAGAGAACTCAGCTGGACCTCACTTGCCGCACCACTGCTGCAGGCGCTGGGCTACCCGGAGCTGGGCGAGGAGGCGGCAGACTACGACTACCCTCGCGATGCCAGCTACTCGGCCTACTCGGGCGCATTGTCTGACGTTCCAGAGGGCAGCAGCGGACAGTACGGCGCTGCGCAGCAATGGTGACGCTCCTCCATCACGGCATCCTCCTTTCCTGCTGCATCTCCTCATTCTGCTCAAACACAAGTTGCTGGCAATCTCGGATTAAGAGATTACATTGTTCAACACCAAAGGTGGGAACTCTGAACAGCAGAATCATGGCAAGAGCAGGTATGTGCAGATGGAACAGTGAAACACATGGCAGAAAATCTGTGGTATTGTAAACAGCAGCCTTGGTTACTTGGATTTGAGTGTACAGCGGGGTACTTGGAGTCGTTGCCAGGTGGATCTCCCACATCTCCTACACACAATTTACGAAGCTGCCAGTTGCTGTGCACGCTGATGGCTGGCCCACAGCTGTTCCAGCGTGGGCAGCAGGGACCTTGGCACGCGTGCATTCTGCCGGATGTCCTGCAGGAGGACAGGCGAGAGAAAAGGCGAGCCCAGGCTCAGAATTGCTGGCCCAACTACATAGGCAAGCCAGCCCTCCAGGTCAGGGCCACCCCAGCTCACCTCCAGGCTGGGCTGCGTCGCCACCCAGCGAGGCAGCGCCGCATTTGCCGCCCGATGGCGCCGCTCGTGGTCGGCCTTGTACTGTGACATGCTCTTGGAGGGCTTCCAGGTGTCTGTCTGGAGAGCGTGGAAGTATGCTGCCAGAGCTGGGCCGTTGCGGGCAAAGTCCAGCTTCTCTACGGTGCTGGCTGCTGCATCCAGCGAGTCGGTGTCCTTGTTGCCCCTGCAGCACGTCCAAGGCCAATGCCATTTTTTTGGCATTGGTTATAAAAAGAAAAAAAGCAGGCAGCGTGAGTCGGGGTGCAAAGGCAAGTGAGTGCTGCCTAATGGTGCCGGCTCACCAGATGAAGATGCCTGCATCGGAGCTGGTCAGCATGGCCTCCACCTTTGGCGGGGCATGCCCCCGTGCCAGCAGCGCCTGCCGCATGTCGCCCCTCCTCTTATCAATGCGTGCATGAAACCTGCGGTGTGGCAGGTGGGTTGGGGTGAGCGGCACGGCTCGACTGTGAGCACGTCCTTGGGTGCCGCCAGAAAGCACGGCGACGCAGGCTCCGAAGCGCACGGTGCGATGGCAGCCATCATGCCAGTATGCACTCGCTACTCCAATCCGTCATCCTCTGGCGGTTGGCCAAAATCTTCTGCCAGGAGCCCTTGCGCCGCAGCGCCTCGCGCTTCACATCTGCAAGCAGGAACATCTGCGGCGAAACAGAGACGGAGGACATAGCAGGGTCGAGGAGGGGGGGGGGGGGGGGGTACATCTGCGCAGGCGCGCCATCCCCATGACACTGGCGCTGGTGTGGTGGTGGTACACACGCAGGGAGGCAGGCCCCACCTTGCCAGGAATGCTGCCACCGACATGCTGCCATTCGTAGGCCAAGTCGCCTTTGGCCATATCAAACACACTCTGTGGGCAGGGGTGGGTGCACGAATACCACCGCGTTTACCATAAGGAAAAGCGCACACGTCATGCGCAGCAGCAGTCGATGGAGCCGTCGGAAGCGTTCGGGCTGACATGCCCAGCGAGGCATGCCTACCTTGGCTTTGCTCTGGCTGATGCGTTGCTGACGGTAGCCTGTCAGCTCTGCGCGCGTCGCGCCGCTGACCAGGCACAGGTTGGGTTTCTCGTCCTCCTCTTCCTGCTCCACACTGTCCTGCACCTGATCCAGCAGGCGCTGCCACAGCACAGGCTTGCTGCCAGTGACGGGCAGGCCCCACTCCTTGGCCGCCGCCTTCAGCTGCGCAGCGCTGCTGGCCTCCGTCACGCCGTTTGGCATCTCTTGGCCTGGACAAAAGTTGGCAGCACAGGCAGGGTGCGAGGGCAATGGATGTCCGCGTGGGAGGCGGTAGGGCACACACAGTGCAGGGGTGAAGCCACAGGCATCGACAGGCCACCCAAGTTTGGGTCGTCGCCCTCACCAAGGCGCGGGCTCAGGAAAGAAAACAGCAGCTGTGAGAGGAGGCGGGTGTTGGGCGAGCCGACTGGCACAACGGTGCAGGCTACCAACAGCACATCATGGCGATCAAACAGGGGAGACACATCCTGGAGGATGCGCGAGCTGATGAGCTCAATCACGTCGTGGGGAAGGGCTTCAAAGCTGGCAGCTGCGGCGGGCGGCGCACGCTCATTGCTCATCTGCAAGCAGGCGGCGGGGTTGGCGGTGCGTGGAGACCCGTAGGCGGCAGCGGCATTCAAGCAGCCGGCAGCGCGGGATGTGCAACAGCGATGGCACACCCTGAGCCTCTGCCAAACAGCGGGCAGACGTGCAGCAAGTGGGTGTGCTGGTGGGAGACCGCTTGATCAGGCGCTCGGGCAGAGCTCGGCGCGAGAGTCAGCCTGCTTGGGGGCCTGCCTTGGTTAACCTTTTGTGAACACGCGTTTGGAAGATGAACACCAAACGGACGGAAACTAAAAGGGCACCCTCTGCGCGCGACACCAAATGGGGAATCTCACGCCAATTGCAAAATGCAGAAGCATGGTCTTGCCCGCCTGGAAAGCAGCATAAGGAACTATCGCCACTATGGAGCTTGCAGGGGGTCCCCGGCCGCCGCCCGCCCCTGCCCGCCTCTGCATGCCCGCCACTCTTCCCCAACTAGTCTTTGCACTCTTTACAGATCTTTCTCTTTATATTTACACTAAATCGTGCAGAAATGCATGCATGCCGGGTTGCTGTGCAACCTGAGGGATCCAGTCTCACTCCACCTCCATCTCCTCAACCGCTAACTCCTGCCCCTCGTCCACGAGCAGATCGTGGAAGGACTTGGCTGGGATCAGGACCTCGTTCCAGCGGTCCTCGACAGCGGTCGGCGGGTCGTACACAAAGAAGAGCGCTGTGGTCCAGTCAAATTCCTCGCGGTGCCAATGCAGCTTGTGCACCAGCGCCATGGTCTGCCACATGAACCTGCACCGCACCACCCACCCCCACCTCTGCGGTTACTGGCTCTGCATATGCCTCAAGTGGTGACAGCCATTCCCCATGCACATGCCTGGGAGGGGTGGGGAAGCCGCGGAAGCCGCTGGCAAAGGCCTGGAAGCTCGGGGCCTTGAGGAGCTTGACGTGGCTCTTGCGGCTGGGGCGGGGTGGGCGGCGGTCCACCTGAACAGACCGAGAAAACAGATGCTGACCAAGGGCATGTACAGCAGTGTAGCAGTGCGACTCCTGGAGGCCAAGGGCTTGCAGATGGATCCCCGAGCTCACCTCACTGCCAGATGCGTTGGAAGTGCTCTGGTACTTGGCCGGCAAAAAATAGGCAGCACACACAGTCTTGTGCACACAGTCAACGCCAGGAGGGGGGGCGCCGCCTGCCGTGCCCTCCGGCTCTGTGGTGCTGGTATTCCAGGCCAGCCACGACTGTTGGTTGTCCAGCGACAGGTGCACCACAGTGGCCAGCGGGGTGCCGCCCCACAGGTTGTTCTCTGCAAGGCATGGCTAGTTCCCTTGGTGGCAACGTGATGATGAATTAGAACTCAAACCCCAAAAAAACTGAGCACCTTCCGCTCAGCATCGGGCTACACCTGACTCCCAGCTTACCCTTGACGTAATTGAGCACGCGGGCAACAGCCTTCAATGGGCCATCCGGCATGTATGCTGCATTGACAGAGATGCGAGTATTTTTGTAGTCATTCAGCAGGACCAGGTGACCTATGGTCTCCCTTTGGGCTGCCCAGCGCACCGTCATGGATGCAGGACACAGCCCAGGTGCTACGCTCGTAGCACCGCAGGGAGTAGTCAGCTTCGTCCCTCACCTGCAGGGAAAGCAGCCTACTAGTAGCTGGAGTGAGGTGGAGTGAGGAGGCGGCGGGAGAGCCTCCTCACTCCTGCCTCGCGCCCAGCCGCTCCAGCCCAGTCGCCGCCGCACGCACCGTCTTGAACCTTGGACAGTCCCGGTCGTGGCAGAACCACGGGGCACGCCGCTCCACATCCTCTTGGTTCAAGGCAGAGCAGAGGGCAGCCAGGAAGAAGCAAAGGGCCACGAACAGCATGGTGCCCCTCCTCATGGTTCTGAACTCTTTTGCAAGACGAAGCAAGCAGAGAAAACAGAGGAAGTTTTGGCCCCAAACAAGGGTTCTCTCAACTGGGTTCTTGCACGGAGAAGATCATCGCGCGCATATGAGGGGCGTGCTGCGCCCAGCCTCTGCCCCCACACACCATCATGCACGTGCCATGTGAATTCAGGCTGGCAGATCGAGCTGCAGGGAGGGCCCGTGCGCTACAAGTTCAGTCCCCAAGTGATGGCAGCCTGAGGTCGGCGATCAGACGGTAGGAAGCTCGTCGCCGTGATGCTGGACTTCACGCCGGCCGGGACTGCCAGACGGCAGGCCTACGGCAACGTGGTCGTGGGCCTGGCGATGCTCTGTATCTGCGTGCTGGCGTCTTCGGTGAGTGCCTGGACGCACCGCAGGGCGGGCGGCGTTCACCGGAAGCCGGGGCGCACGGCCGATGGTGTATGATGGTTGGGCCCGCTGCCCGACGCCCTGCCGCGGCGCCCGCCCCTGGGCGTCCCCATCGTCGTCGATCTGTTGCCTTTTCCTCCACCTGCAGGTCCGCCTCTTCTCTGTGATCAAGTATGAATCAGTGATTCACGAGTTCGACCCCTGTGAGTGGTTTGCAAATCAGCTCGTTGGCTTGGCAGGGTGAGCAGGCAGGCTGCTCATGCCGTCCCCATTCTGTACCGATTGGTGCCACTTGTTTCATCTGTTTGTGCAGATTTCAACTATAGGTAAACCTACTTGGCGTGTTGGTAGAGAGAGAGCTTGCAGCTGCATGGCAACTGCTGACGCCCCGCCTGCCCCTACCCCTGCTTGGCTTTGGCCCCATTGACATCCCTCTTGGTTTCCGTAAGTCTGTTTTGGACATCTCAATGATCGCCCACAGGGTCTCCCGCTTCCTGACTGAGAAGGGCTTCTATGAGACCTGGGACTTCTTCGACTCCTTCACCTGGTACCCGCTGGGCCGCGTGGTGGGCGGCACTATGTACCCAGGTGCAGCATGGGTGGGGTGGCACGTGCTATATGCTGTGGCATTTGCTAGACAAACTACGCCATGCTGCGCAGCTGCAAGACCAACGCCAACAGCAGCAAAGCCATC